GCAAATCCCTGGTGCGGACCTCTCAGATAACTCAGTTGTGATCGTAATGTGGGGGCGTATATAGAATACATCCACCTGGTCTTAGACTTTCCCCAGCCCACCCCTCCTTCTCTCCCCAACCCCATCAGCACAGGCCCTCCTCGTAGGCAGGCACCATGTTACTCATTTTTATATCCCCAAGAGTAGAATGTCTTGCACACCGAAGGCTCCTAATGATAGTTCCTGAGTTTTGCTGAAGAGAATTTAACTTCAGCTAGCAAGAGATAGAATATACGTTTAGGGAGACCTGCATTTAGTTCAGCCTTTTAATATAAATCTCTTTGGCCACATTCAGGGCAAACTTGGTAATGAAGCAAACTCTAATTACATGTGTCAGTTATAAAAATTAAAAGGGGAACTCTTAAAACTGCTGCCAGAATTAATTACTCAATATCAGTTTAGTCAGATCACTCGTGTGCCCGTCTACACGTCTCTCCAGTATCTCTTTTAAAAGAATACAATGCTATAATTTGCTAGTTGTCTAGAGCCTGACATAAGATTTTTAAAGAAAAAAAAATGCAATTTACATATTTTAATTGTTTCCTGTAAGGATCAAGACTGGAAACCATTGTACCCTGGGGATCCGGTGTTTTTAACGCTTGATGGAAAGACCATTCCACTGGGCGGAGACTGTACCGTGTACCCAGTGTTTGTAAATGAGGCCGCGTATTATGAAAAGAAAGAAGCTTTCGCAAAGACGACTAAACTAACACTCAACGCAAAAAGTATTCGCTCCTCTTTACATTAGAAATCACTTCCAGCTCACTTGTTATACGGTATCTTGAAAAATTCTACTAGTTTGTAAGCTCCTGACGAGCAGGATTGTGCCTTATTCAGCTTCACAGCCATAGCGCCGAGCCCAGTGCCTTGCACACAGTAGACATCCAGGTCACTTTCTTGAATGAATGAATAAATTAACGAATATCTTTTAAAGGTATCATACTTTATGAATGTAGCTTCTTCAAAGAAGTGCGTTTCTTAGTTCTGTATAGCTTTATATACTTTATACTTTAGTAATTTAACATTCTTAATAAATAGCCTTTAAATTCAAATTTTAAAACTGAAATAGATGCTATGTACAAAAAGTCATTAACTTGAGCATAAAATTAAATGTATGTTTTCAAGTGATGTACTAATGTTCCTAGAAACTAATGGTGCAGACTTGCTATTTTAAATTTTTTCATATTTAAATTTATGATATGTAGTAAGTATACAATTTATAAACCTTAGCAATAGTTGTGATATCCATAGGAGACTTTTAAATGCTCTTTTGAAGATGAAATATGAACGAGAAATGAGAGCCTATTGTAAAGGTGACATTATGAATAAATCAAGACAGACAGACAGTGACCCACACAAAGCATGGCTGCTCCGCATGCCCACTTGTTCTGCGCTGACCCTGGGGAGCCAGAGCCGCCTTCAGACATCTCACATGCCCCTAAGAAGCTAAGGTTCCCTCCCACCTCGGGGAAGTTGGAAGAGGCATCTTCCTCCCCGCTGTCACTCCTCATTTTGAAAGAACATGCTTGCCCTTATGTCCAAGCAACGTGAGAGGAAGTCTTTGGGCTCCAGCAGCATAAGTGGTGATGACAGAGATAGCAGAGGGCAGGGGACACTAGTGGGAATGTGGCCCAAACTCATGTCTCTGGTTTGCAAATGCATTCTTCCAAGAAATTCCTCCCTGTTCTAAACGCCCAAATCCCTCACCTCCCATGGTTCTTCTCCTCAAAGGTCCTCAGATCAGAACGCTGCCTCCTCCCTCTCCAGGAGCCTCCCCGCCCTCCTCTCTTAGACCCAGCGGCCGAGTAAAGAGAGTTTCTATCCCATGATTTGGACCTCAAGGAACCCATATTTATGGTTTCAAATATTTACCAAAATCATGGTAACATTATCTGGAACATATATATATAAACATTTTCATTCTTCCAGAGCAAGCCTCATTAAGCCAGTTTCTTTCCATGTTTGATGTTCTATAGAGAACAAACTGTTTCTAAATTTTTCAGCATTTATTTTTGTACTTTACCCAAATTATTTTCATCGAAATAAACTCTCTTCCTTCTGAATTCTGCAGTAAAAATTCGACTTATCATTCAGTTTCTGTACCTAAGTTTTACCAAGTTTCCTTCTCCTGCTGTGAATGTTCCTTTGTGTTTTATGTCCAAGTCCAATTTTTCTGGGTCAATTTTTTCCAGATGTAAATTTTGGCAAGAATACTTTATTCTTCCATCAAATTTTAGTTACTTATAAAATTTACAATGTGCAATTTAGGCCACTGTGGTTTCAGGTTTTGTATCGATTTTTTCTATCAAATCTAATTTTCTTTGACAATATTTATAGTCTTCAGAATTTCTAATTAGATGTGACTTTTAAAAGATCTATAACATATTGCTCTGTGGCTTTAGCCACTCTCAGTTTTATTCCACTTTGATTATTTCTAACAGTCTACAGATTCAATTTTCTCACTTATGAAATGGGGATGATCATAATAATAATACCTCTCTTATGGGGTTATAGTGAGGATTAAGTGGGCTAATGCAAAAAGCACTTATCACAGTGCCTAGTACAGAATAAATTATTCAAGTTCAAATTCTTAACACAAAAGGCCCTTTACCATCTGCCCTCCCCTACCCCAACCTCTCTGGACTCATCTCCCTTCAGGTCCTCTCTGTTCCGGTTGGCTCTGTGTTGTTTCTTTCCCATATGCCTTCAGACAGACTGGTCCTTCTGCCTAGAATTCTCTCCCTCCTTCCCCTTCACTCAGACCTCCCTCTAGCTAATTTCTATTTCTCCTTCAAAATGCAACTCAACTCTCATTTCACCTATAAAGCCTTCTTGGCTTGCCTCCTTGCCCCTCTTTGCTTCCACCCATCTTGAGGACATTAACAGTATTTCTTTCAGTGTTTAAAATCTAAAAAGTGCCCAATAAAGTTTAGTTGAATAAATGAGTGTGTGCAAACCTCCCTTCTCTACTGAACCATCTTCCTATCCCACCAATGTCTCTGCCTTCTCTTCGCTTCTTTCCTTCTTTCCCAGTGACTTCCTGAGCATTCCCATCACTCCCAAGTGAAATTCACTTCGCTCCACACTCTTCAGACTGTTACTACATCCCAAAGGATGGCAGGGGGGGGAAAATACACCCTTTTAAGCCTGCAATCCCATAGTAAAAGCAGGGAAATGTTCACATTAAATAATCCCCCTGTGTAAAACCTTTTAGTGGCTTCCCCTAACCCTGGATATGAAATCTCAAAGCCTCACCGTGGCTGGACGAGTCCTGTGTGCTCTGGCCTCTGCCTACCTCTCCAGCACTACTTCATGTCACATGCCCCCTTGCTCGCAGCAGTTTGGCCGCACAGACTTCTCCATCCTCAAACGTACCAAGCTCCCTACTATCTTGGGGTCATTGCCCATGTTGGAACTCTCTCGAAACCCTCTCCCACCCCCACACTCTCTTTACTTGGATTCTTCTTTTTTTTTTTTTTTTAAAGATCAGCCCAAGCTAACATCTGTTGCCAATCTTCCTCTTTTTTTTCTTCTCCTCAAAGCCCCCCAGTACATAGTTGTGTATTCTAGTTGTAGGTCCTTCTAGTTGTGGCATGTGGGATGCCACCTCAGCGTGGCTTGATGAGCGGTGCTAGGTCCACACCCAGGATCTGAACCAGCCAAACCCTGGGTCGCCGAAGCAGAACGCACCAACTTAACCACTCAGCCATGGGGCTGGCCCCTTAAATTATTCTTAAAGGTGACTCAGGCTAGGCTAGACCTAGACTCTGCTATACAAGCTTATTGACACTACTAGACTAGCATTTACGAGCAAACTCCAGAGAACCTGGATCTTTGGCCCAGGAAAAAGTACTGTGACCTTTGTTATTCCATCGCTCTCCAAGTCTCAATTTCCCCACCTATTTAATGGGATGTAATACTCATCAAACCTACAAAACTGTGTTATTAAAATAAAAAATATGAATAAAAGAGCTTTATAAATAGGGAATCATACAATCTCAAAAGCTGAAAAAATTGCAAAATACCTTTTGGAAGGTAATTTTTCACAGTATCAAGAGCCGTAAAAATGTTCACACCCATTGACCCAGGCATCCCACTCCGGGAATATATCCTATAACAAGAGTTTCCACCCTATTTCTATCAGTCTACTCAAAATGTTCCCATGGATGGCACATTCCTAGATTATAGGTTGAAGCCTATTTGAGCTAGGATGTAGACTACATACAATTCCCATTTCTTTGCCACTCAGGAAGACATATCCCAGAGAAGGATGTTATTCTGGGAATCGTTTGAATTAAGTAAATAACTCATGAAATGTAGCATATCACTTATTAGTAAATTGCAAGTTCTGAAACCCATCAAGACACAGCAGTGTCTTGGCATACAAGCTGAGAACTACCATGAAATAACTCAAAAGAAGGAAAAAATGCATATACATTTGAGTTGGGCCAACAGGCAACAACAATAGTAATAATATGAGCCCTTTTATTTCCATTCCCTCACTGCCTCCTCACAAAGGTCCTGTGAGGTAGACGGGAGGGATCCATACTTTCTGGTCTCCAGCAGGAGTCATGGTTTTATATCCATGCAAAATAAGTTGAGAGTCACTGGGGCATGCTGGATAGAGCGCTGTTCAGTGGTCATATGGCCTGAACCGCTAACATTTCTGGCTGTGATTCCTTGAGCACGTCACTTCAACTCCCTGAGCCTGTTTCTACTCAAACTGCTTCCAGCATCGTTGAGTGGTTCAAATGGGGTACTGGACACGAACGCACTTTGAAACGTAAATACTGTACAAAAGTGACGTGTCTTAGCATGCTGGCTCTGTCCCTGGGCAGGGACCAATAATAATGCTTCAGGTCCAAGAAGTGACCTTCCCTTTATCCACTCATGTTAAGCAATGCTCTAGGATATCTAGTTGGTCTTCATATTGGCATACCTAAGACAAGGATACAACATGATCACAAGGCAAAATAAATATTTATTAGAAATCATAAAAGCATTTCTTCAATGACACTAAAACACTCTTACTCTATTTATGACTTCTTTCTTAAACATAAAGTTTCATACACACACACTGAGAACAAGCAAGTAAATTAGAATTTACAGGAATCAGGCACATTCAATGAGCACAAGGTAACAATTCTGTGTTTGGGACCAAGATCACAGTAAAAACATGTAAATCAATGCAGAAATCAAGTATGGCTTACAGGCCTGGATGACGGCCCATCTACCTGGGCCCTGCCCAGGGCAAAAGGGCACAGTTCACCAGGCCTTGAGGAAGGAAAGGAACATCAATAATACAGGGCTCTCTTGGGCAGGCGCCTTCTAAGAGCCTAATGACTTCACAGTACAACCTCGCACACGTTCTCTCACATCCCTGAGAGGAAGGTGAGACCATTTTTATTCCAAAAAGATACATCACATAATGTTTAGAATGATGGATTCTTCCTGAGGCAGAGTTTAACTAAAGGAAAATTTCCAGCCAAAGCCATTATCTGAGCATGAGAGATTCCATCCCAGGAAAATGTCTTCCCTTAAATTACTGAAATGTGAATCACGGAGTTTTAATATGTCCTGATACACTCATGGATCCAGTGTGTGTGTGTGTAGTTTTGTGCACACCTGTGTGCACACTTGAGTTTTAAACCTGTCATAGGGAATCACAGGGACAACGTAGACTGCCAACATGAATCATTTAAGCAAAAGTCCCTAGAACCCTGACACATGCCAACCACAAAGGCAGATTCAAATTTACTGAAAACCGTACTAAAAAAAAAAAAAAAAATCGGTGCAGAGGGATATCTGTGGTCCAGGAATCAGAACATTCCAGCTTCAACAGCTCTGATATGACTTCCTGCATGACTCTGAACAAGTCCACTTTCCTTTCTGAGCTTTAGTCTCCAGTAATAGAGTAAGGGAACCAGTCCTTTTAAACCAATGCTCTTTGACTCATTGCCTCCCTTTGCCTTTGTAAACCTACCGAGGCTCAGACCATCTAGGCTGAAAGCCTTTTGGGGATGAATATCCAGTACAGACAATGGTCCTGCCAACAAATTCCATCTAGATCCACAGAGAGCAGCTCTCCATATGTGTGAGAAGACAAAGATGCCTTCACTGATTTCTATTTGCCTAACGTCCAAGCTTTTGTTCAAGAGGGAAATGGACAGACATATGGCTTGATCCATTCACATCCCAAGTCAACACAATTCTGGAATTCCCAGCTCCATAGTGTAGAGCATGGCACCATGGATCCAAATGGCTGCCCTTCAAACCAGGACATCTGTTCTGGATATATGCAAGTAGGTAACTCCAGATACAGGATGCTGATCTCCAGGCTAAAAGGACCTTCAAGTTCATCTAATTGTGGGCTTTAACAACATCTCTAATAAGTGCTCAACTAGCTTCTGCTTTAACATCTCCAATATCTGGAGCACTTGCTGGACTGAATTGAACCAAAATCTTTCTCCTTGAATTTCCAACTTTTGGCACTAGTTCTGCCCATCTGTAACACATCTGCTCCTCCTGCCTCCATGACAATCCCCACTCCCAAAATCTTCCCTTCTCCAGAAGACATGCCTAGACCCTACCTCCCCTGCTCACACCTGAGCTTGGTCTGACCACTACAGCTCAGAGCACTGCCGGCTCCCTGGGTCAGTGGAGGGAGCAGGGGCTGCTGCAGACTGCGCAGCTCTTAGGCTGCATCCTCGGCCCGCCCATCTCCCCGTGACCTGGCCCATCAGAGGCACAAAGGCCAAGTTTCTACCTATCCAGGTAAGCTGGTGCACAGAGTGACCCAGAGCAGAGGAACGGACCCAGAGTGGATTGTTTGGCCTACCTTCCTCAGTTTGCCTCAACTCAGATTAAATAGCCAATTGCCAAGCTGTCTAAAGGCCAAATTTATTTTTGTGCCACTTAAAATTAAAATTCATGGTTAACATCTTTATAATTCCACCTAAAACTCCCCACATGATTCCTTTTACCAGATAACCAAGGCAGAGCGGATTTTCTGGTTATTTAGGCTCCAGAAATCTGGAACATTTCTTCCATCTGCTCTTCACCTCTGCCCCCAACTGACTCTCTGTAATTTCAGGGGGAGAAAATCAGAGGGAAAGGACCTAAAATAAGCCCCATGTCTTGGCACATGCTCCTTTCTCACATGCCTTCTCCTCAGCTTCAAAATTCACAGTCTACAAAAATATTTAATACAAGAGCATTTCAGGTATTTTGTTAAATTCCTCCAATAAGAAATACTGATGTATAACAGTAACCTCTGAGATTTAAGACCATATAAATAGAGCAGCTACTATTTCTGTGTCAGATGAAGCTATCATCTGAGCTTGGAGGCAGGCACGATTGCAGGGCCAGGACGAGGAAAAGAGCCAAGCTCTTTCACCCAGATCCAGCAGCCCAGGCAGGCCCTGCCCGGCATGTCTCATGTGGACTTTTGTGTGTGTAAAGAAAAGCTTTTTGTCCTTGCTCTGGCCACCCCGAGGCCAAGTATACAATACTTACATCCAGCCCCAATTCCCAAAATCTATTTCTCAGTTTTTAAAATCACATACTTCGTCTGAAGCAATTTTCATCCAAAACTGAAATGTCTTTCCTCTATTGAAAATAAAAACCCTATGTTAATAATTCTACTAAAAACGTCTCTCAGTTTGAGACAGCTTGAGCCTTGGGGTGCCAAGGGTGCTCATTCCAAGGGTGGTTTGTTCCCTGAAGGTTCCGGAAGGGCATTTCCATAGCTCGCTCTCCTCCTCCCCCAGGATATCCGGCTCAGCCCCCCGTATGAGCTGGGACACGATCAGGAGTTCCCTAATTCAGGAGACCCAGACACAGTGGAGGAGACAGTGCAATGTGTGCGCTGGGACTGGGGGCTGTCAAGGAGATGTTGGCAGGAAGAAAGACTCCTCTCCCTGCTCCTCAGGCCGCCACCCCTTCCCTGCCACCCCTCTCTCCCGGCCAAGCTGACCTGCAGTTGGTGAACCCAGGCACTTCACCCAGGACTTTGGGGACTCCCAAGCTCGGGACTGCTGGCCATGGGTTTACACAAACTTTTTGCTGAGTGACAAAATCAAGGGTATTTCCCACTCGGACAAACTGACAACTGCCTCTCAGTTCAGCCACCGCTCAGCATGAGGGTGCTTTCCACTCCTGGGCAGGCAGAGCCAGGCTCGTCACTCTGCAAAGCCCTCAGCACGGAGTCCAGGACCCAGCCTGCAGCCAGACGCTCACACCAGCTCTGGGTTCTGCTTCTACACTGAAGTTTCCGGAAATTCTTCTATTTCGTCAAATGCATTGAGGGTGGTTTTGCTGTTGCTCCTGGAAGAATCTTGGATTTTGTTGAAATCATCTTTAAAAAACAAAACACTATTTTAAAAATACAGCACTCTGCAAGGTGTGCTTCCAGCTCCTCATGCACCCCCTGATTTTTAGAAGTTATTCCAACTAAGGTGATAAAATGTCAGAGCTGGAAGGGACCTGAGAACCAATTTAATTCAAACCTCTCATTTCACAAATGGGGAAAATCAGGGCCCTGTGACTTGGTTGGCCCAAGGTTCCATGGTCAGACAGGGGTGGGTGCCACCCTCCCTGACAGCATCGGTACCTGTCCGTCGCCCGGGCCCTGGATCCTCATTGAGGAAGGAAACGTGTGTTTTCCACTCGGTCCACTTCACCTCGTTGATCCTGCCAGTGTGATAATCATTCTCACTACTTCCCAACTGCACCTCATTAAATGCAGACAAGTAGCACAGAGTTCGGGGTGTCCCAGGAGCTCCCCTTCTGTCCCTCCCAGGGATCAGGAGCACTCCTGCCCCACATGTCATGTCAGCATTGTTAGGGTGTGAAACCTGCCCAAGCCCCCACCGTGTGGGACCCAGAAGCTCAGAAAGCTGTAAAGGGGACGTCTTCAGACAGCAGTGGCTGTGCCTGACTGGTGAGAGGGAGCCCACAGGCAAGGAGGGAAGGGAGGAGAGGAGAGCCTGGGCTGAGAAGACGTGGGGGTGTGAGGATTAAATTCCTGGAATTTAGCTAGGGTTAAGCTTACACGAAGGCAAGGTGGTTAGGGTTCAAACTCCTGAAGAGTGGGCAGCGTCTAAGGTGCTAGATTGCAACTGGAGATGATGGTCTGGCCCAAGTTGACATTCAGAGAACATCTCTAGCGTGACAGTGTCAAAATTAAAGATATTTATCAAGGTAACAATTTGTAGTCAGAAATGATGGTTTCTGGGGGGGTGAGAATTTCCGTTAGAGAAGTGGGTTAAGGTAAGATTATACACAAAGAAGATAGTCTGCACAGTCAGGCAATCAGACGGGGGCAGAAAGAGGTGGACTTATCAGAAGGGATGGCCATGGCATGTGCAAGTACTTTTTAAAAATCAAAAACCTTGATATCTTTCAAAAGTAGCTGTCTCACTTTCCATTTGCCAGGGACAAGATGTGCCTCGGGTCTGCTGGTGTCACGTGAACCCACATAGGGTAGACAGAAGGACTAAGAGTGCCAGGCTGGCAGATCTCTTCTGAACCAGACACCGGGCAAGGAGAGGCCGTGGAGGCACCTCCGAAGGGACGGAGAGGAAGTGCTGCGGGCAGAGTCGCCCTTCCTCTCCCCTCTGAGGCTGGGGAAGCCTTGTCCCAGGGCCAGCAGCCCCGTAAGAGCAAATTCCAGCTTCTGAGGAGGCCAGAGCAGATGGTAGCCATAGTTTGGCAACCAAGTGGCAGCACTGTCTCTCTCACATTCACCAACTCGCCCCTCTTTACCCACCCAAAGACAGCCACCAAAGGGCCCTTCCTGTTTCTTACCGCAAACACAGTCGGAAATCTTCCTCTGCCACCTTACACAGCTCTCCCATCTGGAACCTGCTCCTCAGCCATTCTGGCAACATTTTCTCAAACTCCAAGATCGTCCTGGCTCTCTGGGGACACAAACGAGCCTAAGAACATTGCTGAGGAGCCCGCCCAGGAGCACAGCTCCACATGAGTGGGCATGTCCCTGCACAGATACACACAGACATACACACACATTCACGCTTGCACACAAGTGTGCATGCACACACACACGTACATGCACACACACCACCAAACAGCCTGCTCCACCCCCACTGGGTGCTAAATGCACAGATCCTGAGGGTTTGGCTAATCTACAGAATTCAAAAATGAAAAACTGGTAAGTTTGGGAAAGGTGTCCAAATTGCTTTAAACATGACATAGACAATGTTTCTGGAAGTCCAGGAGCTTCCTAATTGAAAAAGGTGGGTTCCTGGGATCCCACAGTGAAGGGAGGTTCAGACATCATGTGGTCCCCCCACCATCCCAGGCTTGGAATCCCCTCGGCTGTTTTCCTGGCGATAATTTGTCTAATCTATCCTGAATATTACCAACAGCACAATTAAGAAGGCCCTAATAATTAGAAATTTCCTTGTGTCGAACCAAAGCCTTTCTCCCTGTCGATGCCCCATATACCTCAGCTCTGCCTTCTGAGGCCACAGGGGGAAGCTGCTCCCTCTTTCACAAATAGCTCTGTAAATATCTGAGGGAACTCTCATCTTCTTCAACCCTGGTTTCAATACCATTTCTTGTGAGGCACAGTTTCCAGTCCTCCCCCAAGCCTGGTCACCACCTCTGGGCCATCCTGTGGGTTAGTGTCCTCAGTGTATAAGGCCCACAGTGAGGGAGGAGTGCTATGGCCAGAATGGAGGAGAGCAGAATTGTCACCTCCGTTGTCCTATATCCTATACTCCTCTTAATTCAACCTAAGGTTACACTTCAACATCCACATATCACACCATTGACTCTGAGCAGAGTGTACCCATAAGCCTGTGTTCCTCTCACACATGCTACTGTCCAGCCACACTGCCTAGACCCTATACTCAAAGAACTAAGACTAAGCCTTCCTCAAACCTGGCCAAGCACAGAGAGCTATGCAGATTCCCAGGCGCCATCCCAGATCCACCAGCGCAGATATATACCACATGCTGTGCTATACCGTGTGCTGAACTGAGTCCCCATGGAGGCCCCTGTACCAGGGTCTCTGCCAGGCTCACCTGTAAGCGCCAGATGCGCTCACTCTCCTTGGAGATGTTCTCCACGGTCTCTCCCATGAGGGCAATGAGCATGTTGAGGAGGAGGACAAAGGTGAGGATGACGTAGGTGATGAGCAGGAACAGAAAGAGGATGGGGTACTTGGAGTTCTGCTGGATGTTCAGGTCGCCCAGGCCTATGGTGAGCTTGAAGAGCTCCAGCACCGCGTCGCTGAAGCTGCCGTAGGAGCTGCAGTTCTTATTGTCCTTGGAACACTTCTCGATCAGCGACGCCAGGGCTGGGAGGACACAACGGGGTGTGCTCTGCAGCCCTTCCGCCTGCTTAATTACCCGACAAATTTGTGCATACTTGACCATACACCCATGCCCACACACATACACACTGCAGGCCTGCTGCCTCCTGCTCCCTGGCCATTCAAATTCCATCTCCAGCCTCAGCTGCTCCAGAAGCCTCACCAGGCTGGTTCTCTGCCTTGACCTCCTGCAGAAAGCCCTTCCTGCCTAACAAAGAACTTTCCCTTCTCTAGCTTCCTCTAGCCTACCATTCAGCCCTTGATCACTCACAGCCTCTTAGAGTTACTAATTATGATCTAGGTGTGTGCCTAGCTCCCCAGCCAGGCTTTGAGCTCCTGACCGCCTGTAACCTGGGTCATCTCCCCCAAGGCTGGGAGGTCCTGAGTCTCCTCCTAATGCTCTGTAGTGAGATCCCCTGGCCAATGCCTGGAGCTCTTTCTTCTCTTCTTTCCAACACACCACAATAGTGGCTCGTTGTTGAACGAAGGAATGCTCAAATCAATGAGTAAATGGATGGACGAATAAACAAGCAAGTGAAGGAGCAAATAAATAAGCAAATTGTGACCCAGCAAAGGTAACAGACAGATGGGAACAGTTACCAACTTCAAATGCCAATGATCTCTGAAAAGAAAAACACAACTGGCCTGGGAAAATAAAACCATGTCTCTCTATGTGGAGGTTAGAAATGACACCAGGCTGTGCTGTTCCCTCTGTCGTAAATGGAGAGGTTTTAAGAAGGGGCTCCATCTCCAGTCCCCAGCAGACCAGAGGCTCTCACAGATACATCTGAAGCAAACTGAGTGAGTAACGTGATGTAGAGGGCCAAAGGGGGTTACCTTGATGCATTACTTTACTCTATGTTTCAAAGAGCACCAACCAAATTTCTGCAAACTTTAGTTTCCCCATCTGTAAAATGGAGCCAAAACACCCGCCCAGCCCATCTCAGGTTGTGAGGGCCACATAAGATGATGGATGGGAACGTGGGAGGCACAACCCGCAGAGTGGATGGACAAGAGCAACAGGGCTGGTTCAAATCCTGGAGTCTCTAAGCCTCAGTTCCCTTATGATCAGGGACGATGATTCCCCTTGATGGAGATAGGAGAGACATAAAAAGATGAGGATTGGAAAATGCTAAGCACACCAGGTGCTCCACTGGTGGCCGATATATCTGTTGCCGAGGCTGCCATGTGCTTTGTCATTTTGATTTCTGTATAAAGTGCTTTACCAAATGTGGGTGTTGTCATTATTTATAAATCAATTACCTACTCCAAATCCAAGTAAGAACACGATATATACAAACAAGAACTTCAGAACATCGTGCAAAATGACCTACAAAGAAAGAAACATGATTCAAGGGTAAGGTTTGAGCACATATTCACCATATGCTGATCTTGCTGCTTCGCGCCCTCTCCCAGGCCCCCACCCTGCCCATGCCTTCACCCAGCCATTCTCCCTTTCCTCAGCCAAGTCCTCCTGATGCTCCACAGCTCAGCTCCGGGCGCCACCTCCTCCAAGAAGCCTGCCCCTCACCCCACCCCACCCCACCCCACCCCTGCCCCCAAAACATGTCTCTGTGCCTGCTGATCCACCCTGTACACAAGCTCCTTTCTTCACAGAGTCTCACATCTGGAATCCTCCCACTTCCTGGGCCAGTGGTGTGCGGGAGCAAGCTCAAATCAGCTCACAAAAGCTGACTGCTCCATTTTCATAAATTTTGTGAGCTGGTTATTAAACACAGCCATTATAAAAAATTAAATTATATAAACTTATGATAAATTATATTGAAAACAAAGGGGATTATTCAAAAATATCACTTCTCAGTAATTTTACAGTTATCTATGCTCTTCAGGTTATTTACACCTATCATGGCCACATGGTGGAAATACAATCTAATGGTGTGTTGCTGTGCGTCTTTTCCCAACTCTGTGTTCAAGGACATCATGTTGGTAGCTGGAAGTCGGCCATAGTGGGAGTATTTACACTAAGGAAATTAGTAAATACTACAATCCAGAGATCAACTCATTGTTTTGTTGATCGTCTAGACTAGCTGTAAGACAGCGATGGAGAAAATGTTAAGGCAGATGAAACTTAAAATATGTCCCACTTGTAGCTGTTACGTTGTGAATAGCATAAAATAGTCTTCTAGTATTTGAAAACTATTATGCAATTCTGCAAATAAGTGGCTCATGTCACTGACAAACAAGTGAAGATCCAAGTTCACATCTCATTCCTTAAAAGAAAGAAAAATATCAACGAACATTTATGTTGGAACAACACTCGTTTGTCAATCACAACTGTTGGCTGGAAAGAGATACAAGATTCAACAAAAATCAACATATTATTCTGCTAGACTCAACTAACTCTGTGGAATCTACAATAAAAAGCATTCTATATTTTACAGGCCGGCCCGGTGGTGCAGCGGTTAAGTTTGCACATTCCACTTCAGTGGCCTGGGGTCCACCAGTTCAGATCCTGGGTGTGGACCTACGCACCACTTATCAAGCCATCCTGTGGTAGGCGTCCCACAAAATGTAGAAGAAGTTGGGCACGGATGTTAGCTCAGGGCCAGTCTTCCTCAGCAAAAAGAAGAGGACTGGGAGCAGAGTTAGCTCAGGGCTAATCTTCCTCACACACACACACACAAAAAGCATTGTACATTTTATTATTATTTGTAAATTGTGTGCTACTCATCCTTTATGTGGTAAAATTTATAAGAGCTGGTTGCTAACTGTTTACCAACACACCCCTGCCAGGGGGAGAGAACATTCCTTCACAAAGCGTACCCCTCCCCAGCACCCAGTAAGCCCCTGCATTTTGAGGTCTGGACACTTAAAGCCTCACCAAAAGCAAAGGGAGACAGTGATGTCTAGGATAAACAGCAGTGGCCTGTCCCTTGGGAAAGCCCCTTTTGCTCACCAGACCTCAGCTTCCTTATCAGAAAAAGGGACATTCTCTGAGGGACCCCTCCCCTCAAACCTGCTCATCTCTGACACTCAGCAGCCCCAACACACCTTCTGGATCATGACGCTGTACATGCCCATGGACTGGAATCCCCGCGTGTAGTAGAGCATGTTCGCCCAGCCCAGGGCCATGGCCAGTACCAGGCAGGCGAGGTACTCTTTGTAGGCAAACAAGTACAAGAAGACAGACAGTATCACAAGCACAGCTTGGACAAAACTGTTCAGGAGACACAGGAGACAGGGCCTTACTTACTCCTCCTCAGTATCAGGGCAGATAGTCAAATCCCCCAGCCTCCCTTAAACCCTGAACAGTCACCCTGGCGGCTGATGCTGACGAGACGGATGAGGCTGCTCCAGACCCGCTCGACCACGTCTAAAATCCAGCCTTGTAGACTGCATCGCCTGAGGCGAGTCCAGGCCAGTGGTGGGCTGCCTGCAGCTGTCAGAGACTTTTTAAAAATACAGGTCCCCAGGGTCCCAGGAGATCCTGGTTCAGAAGGCCGGGGGCCATGTATTTTCTAAGTCACCCATGTGATTTCTGATTCCCACATAGATTGGAGAGCCACTGGAGTAAACGGAGGATGCAGTGAATGAATGCGTTTTTAACCAAAATGACAAAAGCTGTCAACATGAATACTTATAAGCCAATCATAACAAAAGTCCCCCAAAACTTACTATTTTTATCTTTTAAAAAAGTACGATATATGCTAAATGAAAGAAGCCAGTCACAAAAAGACAAATACTGTATGACTCTGCTTACACACAATACCTAGAGTAGCCAAATTCATGGAGACAGAAAGTAGATCGGGGGCCACCAGGGCTGGGCGGAGGGGAAGAGTGACATGTTTGGTGGGTACAGTTTCAGGTTTGTAAGATGAGGAGTTCCAGAGATTGGGTGCACAGCAATGCGAATGTACTGCACAGCACTGATCAGTACCCTTAAAGGTGGTAACCCTTTTGTGTACTTTACTAGAATTTAAAAAATATTACGTACAACATATGCCAAACAAGATCAAAATCTACTCCTAAACAGTATGTGCTCCATCAGCTACGCAGACATCTGGATAAAAACGCTCTCTTGCCTATAACATCAGGCAGTCTCCATGATTATGAAATCTCTAACTAGTAAAAGTTAGGACACAAGCAACCTTGTTCTTCTCATGCAGTGAAAAGCAAATGTCTGGGTGATCGATGCATTTGGGACTAAAGCAGGGAAGGACGTCTACACCTTCCTCCACACTAACAGAACAAGTAAGAAGCAGGAGAGCAGGATGATGCACTGGGGCCTTTTGTCTGCGCTAAGGCCAACGGCTGTAGAAATGGATTTCTCTCTGGAATTGCCATACTTTCTCAAGGTGACAGACTCACACGTGGCTTGCATCACAGGGCAGTGCTGCACCTGGCCTATCCATTCCCGGTGGTATCTGGGCGCCCCACCTGCGCATGGGGATGAAGAACTTGGTTCGTGCCTCTGGAAGGCAGGTACATACTCAATAAAACACCTAGGTATTTGGAAGTGTGAGGCCAAGATTCAAAGTCCTGTAGACTGTCTCCCAAATACCCAGAAGAGGGACTTTGGTGGGGTCTACAGGGCTACAGAGCCCTCCATTCTTCATCCCACGTGATAGATTCTGTTCCATCCACACAGCAGCAATGAAGAATCAGCCTCTGTTCACTTAGAGACAGGCCACAAAAGCCTCTGATGTCAGTTGCACATGACTTCATTCAGAGAGGCTGCTGAGCTGGGCTTGCTGGCTAGGGCCTATGGAGCTACTCTGCACTGGCGTGGGGAGAAGATGACCCGGAGGCTGGGCTGGCTTCCACATGACCGAAGTTCCTCATGACTGTCAGTGACTCCCCACTCTGGGCCTGGGTTTTCATGCCTACACATGAGACTCAATGGTTTCTCAAGCACCTTCCAGCCTGATCTTCCACGGTCCAAGATGGCAACTTCGAGACCCCACAAAACCAGGAGGAACTGGCCTGGAACTCTTCACAAAGCAGTACACAGCACTGCCCAGCCTCTTCATGCCCACTCCGTGCCGCCTGCCACCTGGGGCTCTGTGGCAGGCCAGAGTCAGCCATCACCGCAACCAGATGGTGGGCACTGTCTTGGGGCTTTCTGGATCCCTCCATGGACATCTATGTGCCTTTCTTACTAGAAGGGAGAGAGGAGGTCCCGGCCATATGACCACGGCAGGACTGGAACAAGGTAACATGGCAGAGTGGCTGTTCTAGAGGGACACAGCAGCCATCATACAGGATTTCAGCCCTGCCTGTGAAGTGGTGACAAAGGGACAGACCTACTTACAAGACAAAGTGAAACCAGGCATCCGAGAGGATGGACTGCAGGTCTGAGGGTCTCAGCAGGAAGATCGCGATGCCCTAAGGCCAGCAAAGAAAGAAAAGCTACACCCTCTTCATGCTTCTCGCTGGAGGATCTGAAGAAGGGCTGTTTCCCCAGGGCTGAGACTCAGTGAGAGGGGAGTGTGTGAAGGCCCAGCCAGAGCCCAGATGAGGGATACAGCAGGGGACCTGTGCCTGGGGGACAGAGGTAACCCCAGGGTGAAAGTAGATGTGCCCCCACATCTTCCTACATCTCTCTCTCTCATCCTCACCCCAGAATCTGCCAAGCAGCACAGCCACACAGCTACTTGCCATTCTCCAAATCTGGCCGAGCTTTCCAGCCTCAGAGCCTCTGTTCATGCTGTTCCCATGCCCTCCCTGTACTGACCTTCTCCCCAGTGTCCTCATGCCCAGTCCTCCCCTACCAGAGTAAGTGCCATCTCTGCCTTCAAGCCTTCCGTGACTCCTCCTGTCCCCAGAAAAAAGTCATCTCCCTTCCGCTGAGCACTGGTCTGAACCCAGCATAGGGCCCTTTTCACAGCCTGTCTTAAAGTCTAGACGTTTGAGTCCATCTGAAATCCCCAACCAGTCTGTGAGCTCAAACTCCCTCCATCCCTCTCACCTCGCCCAGGGCCCCACATATAGTAGGTGCTGATTCATTGGTTGGATGGATGGATGGATCTACTGATTGTTCGAGCAATCGATTGATTGATCAACAAATGGAAAGCTGGTTGGATGAAGGATGGAAGGACAGTGGGTAAGGATGAGTGGGTATTTGAATGCATGAATGAGTGGCTGGGTTGATGAGAGGACAGGTGATTGATTGGGTGGATGGAGGGGAGAGGAAGATGGGTCACTGAGTGGCTGGGAGGGTAGATAAATGGCAGATAGATGGACAGATGGATGGAGGGGTAGAGAGATGAAGTAGGAAGGACAGCCCTATTTATTTATTTATTCCCATCTTATAACTAAGAAATCTAAAGCTTAGAAGGGAAATGGCTCCCCAAGGCCCCCCTGCAGTAATGGCAGAGCGGGGCGGGATGGAAGCCAGGCCCGCTATCACCCTGCCTGCCTCGCAGGGCAGTCGGGAAGGGCTGAGTGGCCCACTCACCTCTTTCACAGAAATGCACATGGCCCAGATGAGCACGAACATCCTTCCTAAGAGCTGCAGCCACCCCATCTTGTGCGTCAGGGCCAAGGGGTGTGGGAGGGCCTGGGGAGGAAGAGAGAGGAGTGGATGGTGCAGGATGGGGAGTGCCAGCCCTGGAGGGACCACGCGCGTAACATGCCTAATGGTGAAGGGTGATAGCTGGGAACTCCATGCAAATCTCTTGGCTGGGCCTCAGTTTCCCCGTCTGCACATGGGACTGCTCTAAGCTCCTGCAGCTCCGACCACCTCGTGCCCCTCCCCAACCCCAGCAAGGAGCCCCCGTACCTCCTCCTCCCGGGGGCGGTAGTAAGAGACGAGAGTCAGGGTGATGTTGTAGAAGAAATAAAAGCAGAAGGACAAGAAGAACATGTACTTGGCAAACTTCTTCCACTTCATGTGCAGCAGTGTGTGCAGGGGCTCCAGGGTCAGCATCTCATGCCGGTTCTGGGGGTAGGAGACCACCAGTCACCATGGGGTTGGGGGAGGGGCCATTTTCAAAGGGCTCTCACTTCACAGGGAGCTCTGAGTCAGCACTGCCCCTGGCAGAAGGGCCAGTCATTATGGCCAATGGACTGGTTCGGCTGGAAATGTTGGTTGGGTAATTTCCGGCTCCTGAGGTTCCTTCCCAGTGCGCCCAGGCAGCAGCCAAAGGCCACAGGAGTCTGGGCTTCCAGCAGGAGGATCTGATGCTCAATGGGGAGCGAGAGCTAGAAGTGGGGAGGGCTGTGACTGGGGTCCTGGCCCCAACTTGGCCCTCCTTCACTGTGTGACCTCGGGAAAACACCCGACCCTCTCTGGGCCTCAGTCTCCTCATCTATAAAACAGATAACGATCAGAATGCCCTACCAACCAGGCTGCTGTGAGGGTCCAGGGAGACCCTGGACACCGCAGGCTCTGGGAAGCAGGACTCTGATAAAACGTGAAGGATGAAGATCCAGCCTGCTGTCTCACTTCCCCTTCGAGCCAAAACTGCTGATCCTCTCTTCCCCTCCAGCTTCACTGACCTTCCCCCTCTTGCCTCCTCTGGGAAGGCCTCCCTGACTGCTCCAGCTATGTGCTTCCTGACCCTCATTTGGGGCCAGGTTTAGGGGTAGAGGGGATTCTAAGCCTGGGTCATACAGAACCAGGGAGAATAGGGTGTGTGGGGGAGAAACAAGATGAAGATCAACACCAACCATCCCCACCCCCACCTCCACAAGGCCCAGAATTCTGGGGCCAGGAGACCCCCCACCATGAGGGTTTACAAGACAAGGTTAGCTGGGAACAGGTGAACCCAGCGCCCGCCTTCGCCCCGCCCTTTCTGTGCCGACTCTGCCCACCAAGGCAAAGGAATGGGGGACTGCAGACGTGTCCAGCTAGCGGCCTGGGGTCTTCCCAGTGACCCCTGAGCCCCTGGCCTGAGGCCCTGCCCCCCACCTCCTGCCCTTCCCCAGCCAGCTCGGGAGACCCACATCGATAGTGGTGTTGTAGACAATGATTTCCAGCACCGAGTTGTCTGTCGTGGTGTCCACGTTGGTGAGGTCGTAGAGGGAGGATGACACGGGCCCGTACGCCCAGTCCGTGAACTTCCTGGACAAGCTCCGGAGCGGCTTCTCCCTGATCTCACGACTGAGGATGTACTTCAAGATCTGGGGCAGGAAGAGGAACAACCGTCAGCCGCAGAGCAGGGCCGGGAAGAGGTTCCCAAGCACAGACTGAGTCCTGCCTCTGCGCCCGACGCCGTGACCCCGGGGTCCGGTTTTATCTGTGAAATGGGCGTGAAACTCGCTGCTCTGTCCATCTCACCGGGGACTGTGAATATCAGAGACAAAAGGTGTGAAGCCCTTTGCACGCTGTGGAAAGCAGCTCGTACATTCTTGCACCAGCGGGGACCCCATTCAGTGAAGAATCCGGAAACTGACAATTTTGAGAAATAATGTCTGTTTGGCCTGGATTTAAGTTTTCCCAGTTCCGCTATCCCACCCTCTCAGTCAAGGCGAGAAGGGGCCAGGAAGGGTGTGGGCACTTCTCCAAGACTGGCCACAGGGGACACATTATCCTCTAGAGAACCAGGGTGTCATGGCGCCCTGCTCTGTGCTGGAAGCTCCGCCTCTGAGCTCTCCCCAGGGAGAACCTGTACCACAGCCGCACGCAGGGCAGAGGCCCTTGGAGGAAGCTCCACCTACAGCCGCACTCTGACCTCCCCCAAAGCCCCCAGCAAGCTGTGCCCCTAGGAGCGGGCAGGAGACGGGGGAGGCAGGCACACAGTTTCTCCTCTGCCAAGCCATTCTCCATCCCTCCTCCCCCAACAAGAGAATGAAAAGGTCCCTTGTGGTACCCAGCCCTGAGCAGTGGGATGGACTCAAGGCCCTCGGGGCCCCCCACCTCCCGGTCAGCTGCCCTGAGGCCAGCACAGCCATGATTGCTCAACAGCCCCCAGCTACCCAGCATCCTCCTGCAGCCTCCCAGGAGCCACAGTGCCCTCCCAGGGCTCAGAGGTATGGACACTGATGAGCAGGCTTCGCTGAGCCGTGACCCCAGGCCCAACCTGAGTCCTGACCTTGATCTCAGACCAAGCCATGGCTCCAGCCACCGACAGGGACATGAGCCCACCCCAGTCCGAGTCTTCACCAAGCCTTGAGTTCCTCAGCCCCATTACACAGGGCCCAAAGGGCCACAAGCAGCCACACGCTCTGCTGGGACTTGGCTCATAGTTTCAACCTGATAGACAGGCTGGGGTCTTTCCAGAGGCGGGGAGCAGCAGCCCACTGACTCTGGATCCAGAGAGGCCATTCTGGGATTCCTGTCCCATAAGACGCTGTGGGTCCCCCAGGGTCTGACACGGCCTCTGCTCAGGTACCTCTCCACACAAGAATCCTCAGCCACAAACCATGTGAGATATTGTGTCACTGTGGCCTTAAGGCGCCCTCACTCTGGCTCCAGCCAGGGGGTCCCAGGGCAGGAGAGAGAAACACGAGTGTTAGGAACTGAAGTCCAGAGGGTGGGCCCGCATGCCGCACCTCACTGGCTCTGTGTGGTCACTAAGAACAAACCCACCTCGGGCCACAATTGCACATCCAGACCTAAGGCCTAGGTGAGATCTGTGGGGTCCCCAGGGCTGGCAGAGTAGCATTGCGCCTCCCCACCCTCCCGTCTGCGCCCGGGACCCCACCTCGGCCTTGCCCAACTTGGCAGCCAGCTGCGGCGGTGTGAGGCCGTCCTTGTTGCGCGTGGTCTCTAGTTCCCAGTTGCCACTCCTCAGCAGGATCATGTCGTACATGCGCTTAACGAAGTCATTCTGCGTCTTGAAGTCCTCGGCCACCGTCACCAGCGCGTGCAGGATGTTGTTTCCCTGCGAGTCCTGTGAGGTGATGTCCGTCTGCTCATTCTCCATCAGCAGCTGCACAATCTCGGGCTGGTTGGTGCAGGCTGCCAGGGCCAGGGGTGTCTCGCCTGGAGGAGGGGAGCAGTGGGGCTCGGTTTTCCCGTGGACCAGAGGCGGTACTCCCCAAGCCCCAGATCCTGACCCTCTCAGTAGGATTGACCCCTCAGGCTCCCTGTCGCTCTCCCCATCTCCCCCTTGTAGAGGAGGGGAGGCTGAAGCTGGGCCATCGCAATAACCTCCTAACTGGTCTCCCGACTACCATTCTGGCCCCAACACCATCCTCAGCACAGCAGACAGACTCATCCTGGAACACATACACCTCACCTGACCCAGAATAAAAGCTCAAGTTCCAACCACAGCCCACAAGACCCTACATCTTCTGATGTCATCTCCTCCTCTCTCCCTCAATCATTCCCCTCCAGCCACAATGGCCTTCCTCCTTCTCCTTGAACGCCCCATACATTTTCCTACCTCAGGGCCTTTGCACAGGCTGTTCCTTCTGCCTGTAGTGCTGTTTCTCAGATATCTGCATGGCTCACTCCTTCACTTTCAAGTCTTTGCACAAACGTCACCTTTTCAATGAATCACCCTAACTGCTCTACTTAAAATTGAAATCCACCTCCTTCCTACCCCAGAACTCCTGATTGCCCTTCCTCTGTCTTACTTTTTATTTTTTTATTAGCACTTATCATTTTCTAACATATTACATAGCATTCTTACTTACTATGTTTATTATTGATGGTCTCTCTCCCATCTAGAATGTAAGTTCCATGAGGGTGGAGATCTTAGTTTTGTTTACTGATATATTTCAAATACCTAGAACACTGCCTGATGTATATAGTAAGTGCTCAATAAACGTTTGTCGAGAAAAGAGAAGGCAGGTGACTCACCCATGGTCACAAAGCAAGGCTTGGATGGAACCAGGACTGGCCAGCAGGTCTCCTGCTCTTTCCCTCCCAAGTTCCCTCCTGTCCCCTCTCCCAACACTGGCTCCCACCAGGTCCAGCAGTGGGCAACGGACTGGACAAGACCCTGTTCTCAAGGCTGCCCAGACCCATCTAGTCCTGCTCATTAAAAAACCCCCCAGAAGAGAAAACAGGTCAGCAGTGTCAGTCAGGGGCTGCGACGGGAAGAGGGGTTGACTACAAAATTGTCCGGGGAAAGTTTTTGGTGCGATGCAGCTGCTTGTTCCCTGGTCACGGTGGTGGCTACACGACCGGATGCATTTGTGGAAATGAACAGAACTGTATATTAAAATGGGTGAATCCACCATATCTAAACCACACATTTAAAAAATTTTTTTTCACCCAGAGTGTCCTAACCCCAAGTGCTTTTGGACTCCCTAACATGTCAGTCAGGGAATTTTCCTCCTCTCACTTTGGCCCCCTGTTTGCAGTCCTGAGAGGCACTGGACACAAGGGACAGAGGCCAGGACACCTACCTCAGCTCCTTACTGCACTGGGCAAGTCATTTCTCTCCTCTGAACCGGTCTCCTCGCCTGTAAACTAGGGCTCTCTCCTTCCTCTCCCTCCCAGATCTCCGTTCCTAGCCAGGTGGACGCCTGTGTGCCCTCTAAGACCACCAGGTGACACTCTCGGAACGCAGCCTCTCCCATCCTCCCCCATACCCCCTCCCTGCTCCACCCTGGCGGTCCTGTTCAGATGGATCCGCCTCTGCCACCTCTCTGGTCCTGGCTCTGTCCTTCCAGGTCTCGGACACGTCTGAGCCGACACAGATTCGCAGTGGGGTCCCGACCCCGGTCCACTCACCAGTGGAAGCAGAGGCCGCCTGGTCGTCGCGGGGCGGGACAGGGCGGCCCCTGCCTCCTCCCTCCTTTCTCCTCCCTCCTCCCAGACCCCGCCCCCCAGCCGTGCAGGGCGGGGCGGCACCCACCAAAGTAGAAGCCTTCGTGCTGGTACTTGGGGTTGAAGAAGACTCCCTTGGCGTGGGCGTTGACGTCGGCGCCCGCCGCTATCAGCGCCGCAGTGATGTCTCCCTGCCGCCGCTCGATGGCAATGTTCAGCGCCGTCTGCCCTAAGGACAGGGTGGGGTGGGCTCGGGGCGCTCAGCTGGGACCTCAGGTGACATGCCCTCTCTGGCCTTTTCCCCTCCCTGGCCTCCATACCCTCCATGGCACCATGGCGAAATAATAGCTGCCTGTCTGGTCTGTGTCGCCCAGCTACCCAGAGTCTCAACTTCAATCTTTCCTGCTTTCATTCTTGCATGGACGCGAGGAATATTTATGGAGCGCCCTCTCTGTGCTCCGGCCAGGCGCTGGGGATACAGGCGCCGTGCACACGGATGCAGTTTTGATTCTTTCCCTCAAGAAGCCCACAGGAAGCAGTGGTACCCAGAGCAAGGGCGAGGGGAGAGTGGGGGGGGGGCGGGGGGGAGGCGCTTCCCAGAAGTGGCCTCCCAGATGCCGCCAGGTAAGTTTAGCAAGGCTGCATGGGGCCGGGCTCAAGGCCTCATAAGCCAGGTTAAGAGGTTAAAACTTTATCACCAAGGCTCTGAAGCAGGGAGCGAGGCCACCGGAGTTTCAGTTGTGTAAATGTGTATTTTCAGATGACTCTGGCTGCAAAATTGGAGGGTGTGGTAGAATGAGCCCAGACTTGTGAGGAACTGTTGCTCCGGCGGAGAAAGAGACGATGAGGCCCAAAGACCCTTGGGAGAAAGAGTCCTCAGGATGGTCTGCAGGGCTTGGGGGAGAAGGGAGGTCTCAGGTGAGATCCAGGTGTCTGCCCTAGGCACTCCGGAGATGGTGTCCCAGTGACTAAGGAGCAGAACAGGGCAGAAACAGCAGGAAGAAGGAGGAGGGGCATTCACCCTGTGGGTGGGGCCTGTAGAACTTCCAGATGGAGGGGACTGGAAGGCTGGGGGTTCTCAGAATATCCCACTGGAACAGCATTTTCCAAAGAGCTGCTACCATACGTACAAATAAAATCCTGGTCAATTAAAGAACTCAGCATTTTTAAAAATTTGAAAATTCATTTATATCCAACCTTTTGCTGGGGGAAATCTTCTTAAGCAAGATCCAAAATGCAGAAGCCATAAAGAAAAAACTGATATGTTTGCTTACATAAAAATTAGGGCCGGGGCCAGCCGAGGCGCGCAGTAGTTAAGTTCTCACACTCTGCTTGGGTGGCCTGGGGTTCACATCCCAAGTGCGGACCAACATACTGCTCATCAAACCATGCTGTGGCAGTGTCCTACCTACAAAATAGAGGATGACTGGGACAGATGTTAGCTCAGCAACAATCTTCCTCACAAAAAAAAAAATTAAAAAAAAAAATTAGGGCCAGCCCCAGTGGCCTAATGGTTAAATTTGGCATGCTCTGCTTCTGAGTCCCTGGTTCAGTTCCCAGGCTTGGACCTACACCACTTGTCTATCAGTGGCCATGCTGTGATGGTGGCTCACATACAAAATAAGGGAAGACTGGCAACAGATATTAGCACAGGGCAAATTTTCCTCAGCAAAAAAAAAAAAAAAAAAAAAAAAATTAAAGATTTCTGTATTTCAAAAGACATCTTAAAGAAAGTTAAAAGACAATTAAGTGATAGGCTGGAGAAATATTTGAGATGTATCAAAGACACAATGCATTTTTAAAAGTCCATAATATATTAAGAGCCCCTACAAATCAGTTGAAAAACAAACAACCTAAAAGAAAACTGAGAAAAGATTATTAACAAGCACCTCACAGAGGAGAAAATACACACAGTCATAAAGTGAAAGATGTTTGGAATCACTGGTAATTGGGAAAACGAAAATTAGAGTCTAATGAGTTAATACTTTTCACCCATCAGATTGGCAAAAACCAAACAAAAAGGATGGACAGTTTCCGGTATAAGTGAGGGGTGGGGGAATGAGTACTTTTGCACACTTTTGTTGGAGGGAGAGTAAATTAGTACCTTTTGGAGGCAGATTTAGCAATAACAATTATAATTTTAAAGGTGTGTGTCCCTGAACCCAGAAAATCCAATTCAAAGTATTTTGCTAAGGGGCCAGCGATGGCCGGATGGTTAAGTTCTCGTGCTCCCCTGCGGTGGCCCAGGGTTTCTCTGGTTCAGATCCTGGGCGCGGACACGGCACCACTCATCAGGACACGCTGAGGCGGCGTCCCACATGCCACAACTAGAAGGACCCACAACTAAAATATACAACTATGTACTTTGGGGCTTTGGGGAGAAGAAGCAGAAAAAAAAAAGAAAGATCGGCAACAGTTGTTAGCTGAGGTGCCAATCTTAAAAAAAAAAAGTATTTTGCTAAAACGTGTGCACTGTACACAGGGTCATAGACAAGAATGTGCATGGTAACATTGTCATAGCAAGAATTTGGAAACCCCCTGGATGTCTGCCAACAGGGGAATGGTGAGAATAGCCACCCTCCCGCGGGACTCGGACCAAGCGGGTGAAAAGGAGGCAGAGTTTCATGTTCTGACCTAAGATACATCGATAACCCAAAACAAAGCAAGTTGTAGAATAGTACAAACAACACAATGCTATTTTATGTTAAATAAATAGATGAATGAATACGAAAGAAAACTATCTGCTTCTGTGTGCACATATACACATATGTCAAAAGTCTAGGACAGTCCTCAAAGGATGCACACCATAATAATCAGCTCTGGAGAGGGGAGTGGGAAACAGGGGAAAGATTTTTTTTTTAACTTAATTAAAATATTTGAATGTTTACAATGAAACTCTAATCATGTGTTATTTATGTCATTAAAAATAAATTGTTATGTTGAATCTGGATCATGGATATATAGAGGTTCATTGTGCTAATATCTCAAACGCATGCTTAAAAATTTCTTATAATAAAAATTTTTTAATTGTTAAAAGAAAAATTAAGTTTCTGAAGACCTCTGATTAAATGCTGAAAATACGTATATTAATAAAGTTGTCATCAGATTCTCTTTGCAGCATAGGAAGGAAATATTAGCCTCTGCCAGATGGGGAAACTGAGGCTCAGAAAGACAGGGTAACCTGCCCAAGGTGAGGAAAAATGCTCCTCTGGCGGTCCTGGCGCCCCTCGGCCCCTGCTGTCAGGGAGTGCCTAAAAACGCTGAAGGAGGGGTGTCAGCAGATACCATCAAGGGGAGGAAGAGGGCTCGGTTTCTGGGAAGATGGGAGTCACAGGCTCCTCCTACCAGGCAGAGAGAGCGTGAGTGCTCCCCGGCTGCCGGCTGCCGCAAGCCCCCCAGCAAGAGGCTGATCCATGAAAGAAGGAAGGGATGGGGAGGCTGAGAAAGGAGAGAAGTTAAGGATTTGAAGCCAGGACAGCAAAGCCTTAATAGAGACACCAACTCTCATTTATTCACTTATTCAAAAAATACTTATTAAGGGCCTCTTCCGTGAGACCTAAGGGGCACCAAAGAATCCACTGTGGGCAAGACAGACTCCATCCTTGCCCTCAAGGAGAATGTGCTATGAGAAGGGGGAATCTGTAAGTCCCTGCAATACTGACAAGAAGAAAGGAGGAAACAGAAGGAGACTGAAAAGGGAGAAGAATAAGGACAGGCAAGCTTGAGGCACTGGCCTAAACCCCCCTGGCTACAGAACTAGTGTCAACTCCGAAGTGACAGGCTGAGAACATTATATAGTCCATCTAGTTTCTCTCTTTGCTTTGGCTACCAGGGAGCTCAGTGTGCCATTCAGCACTCAGTTGCAGCAATCTTCCCTGGGTTTTCTCTCCTCCAATCGATAAACTCTAGTTTTTCACATCCTTGACTTTTTCTTGTAGGTAACAAAAACCTTTTTGAAAGTCTGCAGAGTTTAAATAAACGAATAAAAATAAAATGACTTTCACCCGTGAGAAAAGTTATGGGCCCAAGCTAGACTCCTACCTGCAAAAAGCTGAGATGTTTAGTGTCCCCTGGCATTTCAGCAAGATGGCATCCAGCTCTTCTTGAGCCCATGATTTGTGCCGCAATCACCTCATAAGACCCTGACGGGATGTTTACTGACTCCAAAAACTCAAATGAGGACACACCTTACTAATTATTCACACTGGATTTCCTGGGCAGGGAAACACTATCCCAAATTTGGTCTCCTTGCCCCCTCTCCGCTCCATGTAAGACAGAAGCCACAAAACTGAGCCCCAAATGGGGTGGTTAATTATATAATGATGATGACGGTACTAGTTGCAATGTGTCGGCCCCGCCCAGCTCTCTAACCTCATCTCTGGCCTTCTTCCCATTTCTCAAACGTGCCAAGCTCGTTCCCAGCTCCAGCTTTTGCTCTGGATCTTTCTCATCATGCAGGCCTCAAGTCGAGGGTCACCTTTCTGACCGTCCACTCTCACATTGCCCATCCAGTTCCTTTTGGTAACATTATCTTCTTTTATTTTATTTTCATAGCATTTTCCAACTAAAATTACCTTATTTAGAGCAGTGGTCTTCATCTGTCTGGTTCACCACTGCACCCCAGTGCCAGCAACAATGCTTGGCACATGGTCAGTGCTCAAAATTATTTGCAGAACAAAAGACGGGAGAGAGGAGTGTCTGCTGTGAGCTGGGCACCATGATGAATGCTTTGGGCTTTCAAGGACAGCAGTGCCCCTGCGTGGCACGGCCCCCACCCACCCTCGGGATCCCTGTCTGTGCAGCCCCTCCCGCAGGCAGGATACCTTCATAGGCCTCCTCTGTGTACGCAGCGTTGATGAACCTGTCCAGGATGTCGTTCTCCTCCGCGAAGGCCAGCAGGATCCGCACGATCTCCTTGGTGTTGGGGTTGATGTTTAACAAGGCCTTCATCAGGCAGGTCTTCCCCGTGTCGGAGGCCGTCAGCTTGTGCATGAGGAAGTCTGCAGGCAGGGCCACAGGATGGAGCTGCAGAAGGGGCCCCGCTGCCCTGGACCCTCCCAGCCCAGAGGAGGGGAGGCCAGGGTGTGGGGGCTGCAGTCTCAGAACCCAAGACTCTGCTCCATGCCCTGCGCTGGCCTCCCTGACCCCTGAGATTCCCCTCTCTTTCCCCTTCTCCAGCTGCTTCTCCTCCGGCTCCTTTGCTGGCTTTTCCCTCCGCCCACGAGAGCCTCAGTCTAGGCCTTTTGCTTTAGGCACCCTCTCCCTGGCAGGAGGCAATCTCCCCCACAGCCTGGCTTCCCACTGTTCCCCTCAGTGCCGACCCCTGAAATCTCCAGCCACCACCCCCCGCCTCCTGGGAGCATGCGAATAGAGCTCATTGCCTCCCCCTGACCTGCTACTCCTGGTCCCCAAGACAAGCAGGGCTCCGTCACCCACGTCACCCAAGCCCAAAAGGCACCACCCTGAACTCATTCCCCACGTCCTTGAGTTCTGCCAATGCCACTCCCTGAAGAGCTGTCCCCCTCCTTCAGCCCTGCTGCTGGGGTCCCAACTCTGCCATGACCCTCACCTGTCTAAGCCCTTCCATAGCTCCTCACTGCCCTCAGAGCCAGGTTCAAAGTCCCTAGCCCAGTATTCAAGGCTGTTGGGGGAGGTGGTGGGTAGACAGTAGGAACAAAGTAGGACCTCCGCCCTGCACCCTCTGCCGGGGCCAGGCACTGACCAGGCACGTCCACGCTGCGGCGCCGCTTGCAAATCTCCAGCAGCTCGGCCAGCAGCTCCAACAACTCCTCCACGCAGCCCTCCGACACGGCCCCGAAGATGCGCTTCTTCAGCCGCCTCTTTTTTCGCCTCCGCTCTTCCTTGGCCAGGTTTGCACTGAAATCAGAAAACGTCTCTGACTCAGCATGCGTGCAACACCACCCCACTCCCTCCCCTTGCCCAACCAGAGCCTCCGTGCCTAGAGGGCGCTGCACAGTCCCCAGTGTCTCCCACACCTGTCACAACGCCTGAACTCCCCTCCATCAGTGCTGGGGCCCTGGGATCCGTGTTGCCCCATGCAGGCTCCCCTTCAAATCCAAACACAATCACATTTTATCAAAATATACATTTGGGTATGCATAGTAACGATCAGGAAGGATATACGCCTACCTGTTGATAGTGATTGCCTCGAAAGTGTGGGATTAGGGGAAGGGAAATGTCTTTTTCATATTTTGTGTTATTTGAATTCTTTTCAGCTAACGCTCCCTGCATTCAACATTCCAAAGAGGCAGCCGTGGCAATGTATTGGTGGGTATCCTTTTGTTTGTGTGTGTTCTTGCAAAATGCACATCGATATTTGATGGTTTACATGCATGTGCTTTTAATTTAAGTATATGGTATTGTCTTCAGTTCTCATCCTGCTGCATATTGTTGTTTAAATGTTTTATGAGTGGGTATTACTTTTATAGTTGATAAAATGCAATATTCCTTTCCCCCCAAATTTCCTGTACATCACAGTCACGGGCCCAGACGTTTCTCCCAACCCACCAGGAGTGGCAGCTTCTTTCTCTTCCCTGCAGGGTCCCGATGCCTGTCCCTCTGGCACCTGCCTGGTGGGCACTGTGGGAGGAGGGAAAGGGCCAGGCTCACCTGGGGCTGTTGGGATTAGATGGGGTCTCTGTCACGTCATCCTGAGGAGATTGCGGGGAGTCCATGTCATCACAGTTGCCGGAGACGCTGGAGGGTGGGAGGAGGGAAGAGAGAAAGACAAGCTTCAAAATGGACCGTGGCAGCATGCCATAGCCAGGCCTGGCCCTGTGGCCGAGGGCGAACCACTGCCCGCCCGCTGGAGCTGAGGGCTGGCGGGGCAGGGGGCTGGGGAGGGGCCGGTACTCACCACTGCCGAATGTTGGAGTCCATGGGCTTGGAGAAGACAGGGGGAGAGGTCTTGGTGACAGTGGGGTTGGGCTCGAATCCTTCTATCTCCAGGAAGAAGTGTGCACTGGGGGGACAACCAAGCAAGGCCCTTAGAGCTGGAACACGGCCTGTCCACCTGTGTGTCCTGTGAGCCTGCTGCCACGGTAGCCACCCACGCAGAGCAGTCGCTCTCAGCCAGCTCCACGCAGGCCTCTGTGCCCGCCTTGCTAACCCTCACAGCAGCTTGGAGCTGAGGCGGGGAGGGGTGGGGCGGTGCTGTCATCATCACCCACATTTCACAGGTGGGTGTGTGGAGGCTCTGAGGTCAAGCAAATTGCCTGAGATCACACAGCAGATAGGTGGAGACCTGGATTCAAAGCTGGGTCTGGGTGACTCCTGCCACTGGAAGTACTGCATAGATGAACCCAGGAGTCTCTACTGGGGTGGCCTGAGGGGGATTCTCCTGTCTGCAGCTGCCTCCAGGCACAAAGGACTCCCAGAGATGGGGAACGTGGCAGTGGGAGCTAGACTTCCCCATCACCCTCTAAGGGCCCCTGAGGCCTCAGGGCTGAAGCAAGAGCCCTGCCAGGGAGCTGCCAAGACTCTGAGCCCTGCAAGGGCTGTTTCTGGCTCCTGAGGGACAGGCAAAGGGCTGCAGTTACCCTGGCTGCTCCGATGCAGTCCCCACCCCCACTCAACCCCCTCTGATCATCACTCCTCTCGTTTGTCAGCACAGACAATAGGCTGAGAACAGCTGATCTAGATTAGGGAGGAACTGAGGGTCAGGAGACAGGGCTGAGAATCCCCTGTCAAGCAGGAAAACCCAGGAAGCCCCTCTGAACAGTGGAGGTGAGGAGCAGGGGAGGGGCGAGTGAAGGGTCCACTCTTCCCTGGGGCTGGGAGGGAGCCGCGGGCCCGTGACCTTGCCAAGCCCTAGGGAAGGGACTCATTGCCCCAAGAGAGGCAAGACACACACCCGAAATGAGATGCCCCAGACAGACACAGACACACCCACAGATGCAGACAGGTGTGCTGTCAGAGCCCACAGTCACGCACTCGGAAACAAGCCTTCTCATGGCAATGAGGCTCAGGCTGAGGGGGACCTCGGTGACAGCAACCCCCCATCCTGAGGCTGCCGCAGCACAACTGCTGGCTCTGTGACCTGACTCTGTGTCCCGGCCGGGGACAGTGGCCTCCTGACCAGCAGGCCCCTCTCCTAAGCACCTGTGCTGCCTGCCTCCTTCCCAGGCCCAGAGGGATCGACACGCCTCCTCCCTGCCTCACAAGACCACAGAACAGCTCCCAAAGGGCAGTCCAGCCATACCAAGTTCGAAGGGGAGGGCAGCAGGGGTGGGGTTGTGGCCCCACCCTACAGATGAGGGAGCAGAGGCCCAGGGTGAAGAAGCAGCTCATCCATGGTCACCCGCCAGAGTGGAAGCCAAGTTTGTCAGAGAACCTGTGACATCCGGGCTCACAGCTCACGCCACTGTCCGCACCGCTCTGCTCTCCCCTGGGCCTCTGGATCTCTCCCAGCCAAACCAGCTCCAGGGAGTCAGCACAGAAGGAGGCCTCTCCACACAGACACTTCCGCGGTGAGGCGGGCAGGAGGGAGACCCAGGCCTCCTGTCCAGGCACAGACAAGCCCGGAAGGCTCAGAACTAATCCAGAAATGGGGCATCAGCAGGGGGGCAGTGCTGGCTGACACGTTGGCCCTCACCCTCAAGAGGAAACTTCTGACCTGACCTAAAATCAAATCCTTCTTCCAAAAGAGAAGACAAAGGAAGGAGCAAACCCCTAGCTGGGAGCCCGATCCCTGGGTTCCAGTCTAGCTCTGCCTCTGCCTCCTGTGTGACCCTAGGTGGTCATTTGGCCTCTCTAGACTAAGTGTCCTCACCTGGATGGAGAATGGTTAGGCCAAATGGTCCCTAAGGCCCAGACTCTGGAGCGGCTCCAGGATCATCCACTTATGGACTATCCAGCTGAAGTGGGTATTAGAGGTCATCCAGTCTGGTCACAGGTTCACTGCACTCCTGCAGTGCCCCAGAACTGCCACCTGGAAGCTGTCCGCACACCACTATGGCATCTCTGGCCCAGGGACTTCAAACATGTCTGCTGGCAACTCAGCCCCGAAACATCCTGGTTGAGACTTGCAGAACTTTCTAGAGACAGAGCGCAACTCCCACACCTGCAGCGACTTCCCCAGGCCAGTGGTCCAGCCTCTCCCCTGTCCTCCACCCGACTCTACCTCTCTAGCCTCCTCAATAGTGCATTTCCTCAACAACAATTTATTGAGCACCTACAATATGCCAAGCACTGTTCTAGAAGATGGGGATACAGTGGTGAATAAGTGGAGAAAAACTCATCCCCTCTCAGAACTATGGTTCCAGTGAGTTGGTCAGAACTGGCCCCAAGGGTCAGAACAGGTTATAGCACAGTGAGGCCATTGCTTTCCCTTCTCTGGACAACACACTATCTTTTGGCTGTAAGTTCTTCAATGGCAGGAACTACAAGTGCTTTGTCCTTGATTCTCCAGAACCCAGCATTACTGGTGACACTCAGAAGACCTAACGGAAGGGATGAGTGGAAGGATGGATAGGCAATGAGGGACAGATAAAAGAATGGAAAAAAGAATGGCTGCTTGGCTAGATGGGCAGCTGAGTGGATGGATGAATAGATGGATGGATACATGGAAGGATGGATAGAAGGAAGGAAGGAAGGAATGAAGGAAGAAAGGGAGGTTAGACTACTGGCTAAGGAATGAGTAGTTGGGTGGGTAGATAGGTGGATAGATGGAGACACCAGTGGGCTGGACCAAGAAACAAACAGACCAACACAATCTTAAACTGTAAATGTTGTTGGGAGGTTGAACCCCTCAAATAACTCCCACTGGGCTCTCAGTCACCCAAAGCCCTCACCTCTCCTTCTCAGCCTTGAGCAAGACGGTGAAGAGGGGTCCTTTTGCCACTCCTCCTTGTCCCCTCCTTTTCAGGCCCCCTCCCAGAGCCCACAGGGGCCTCAAGGATGGTCCACGAAACCAGATCATGAGAACATCTATCTCCTCCAGGCCTGGAGACTAAGGGCCAGAGGGAAGAAGCGTTTCCTCATCTCACGGTGGAGCGTCCTCACTCGTGCTGAGCCACCAGCTGCTTACTCATCAACTCACCCACTCCTTCTCTGGTTGTCTTGCCTGCTCCTTCACTGACTCACCCACTTATTCAAAAACTACTAACATGCTCTGCATAGGAAACTCGGGGGCCAGGGAGGGAAGAGATGACCTTTCCAGAGACCGTGTCCTCAGAGATCTCAACCAGCACTACGTCATCATCCCAACAACCTCTTCAGAGAGGAGCCGGGCTATGGGAGCTCAGGGAAGAGAAGGTTCTTCCAGTCAAGGACAGGGACCCAGGAGGGCTCCATGCTCTGTCAGGGTGGGATTTGGTCCGTGTCTTGAAATGGACCTGTGGTTTGGGAAAAACCCCGGAAGCAGAGAGAGCAGCGTGAGAAAAGTCTCCCTGGTGGGAAAATGAGGGCTGTGTCTGAGGAAGGAAGTCTTCGGTGGCTGGAAAAGAGAGTGGTGAGAGCCGGGCCAGAAAGGACCCAACTGTGGGCAAAGACCTAATTCCTGGGGCAGGGAGCTACTAGACCGTGAGAGCCTGCCCCAAGCCTGCTCTACTTGCCGCTGCACATGCCACATGTCACCCGCCATCATGAGCAGATGGCAAGGTCTGGCTCCTGACTGGCAGCAGATGCTGATTATTTATTCCTACCTTTGGCCCAGACCAAAGATACCACCTGGATGTTGCTAACTCAGGTACACAGACAGCTCGGCACCATTTCTCCAGCATTTCTGTCCCTTTGAAGGCAAAGAACTATCACTAAGCAGCCCCAGGGCTGGGAGGAGCCTGTCTCACCTGCTTTGTCCCAAGAAATGCCCAGGTTCTGAGCTGCACAAGGCCAGCTCCTCTGCAGCTTTCCCTGGCCTGCGTCTCTGTCCCTGCGCGTCACCTTGCCCAGAGCCCAGTAAGGACATCATGGTGGCAGCTGCTCTTGGGGAGTGGCATGATAGTTCAGGAAAAGTTCCAGGTCCACAAGTCTCTCCCCAGACTTGACTTTTTAGTGCCTTCAATTCCACCATTACTACCTATTTCCTTAGTGGTCAGAATTGCCCTCTTTATTTACATATGATTTTTTCTTTTCTTTGTCTTTCAAGGCCTGAGTCCTGTACTTAGTTCTGAAGAAGATGCCCAAACTTTCGCGGTCTGGGGAGAAGTAAGCATGTGAGGGCCCTCAAAGAGCCCTGGGGAAAGAGAAGGAGCCACCGCTTCATGAGACAAAGGTCACACACCCAGGCCCCTGGCTGGGCCAAGGCTGTCGGCAGAGCTGAACCTGGAGGGAAGTTCGTGCACAGGCATGTGCTCAGAAAAGGCAGTCGGACTGTAGGAAGAACCTGGGATTTTCCCAAAACCCTGTCCTCAATCCTTCCTGAGGTCCAAACCTCCCCTGAGACAGTGGGAGGGAGGGGGGATGGGAAGAGAGGCAGGAGGGCCGTGTTTGTGGCTTAGCTCAAGGACATTTCTACTCTCACCCAGACAAGCCCACCCAGACGCAGGCTGCCCCCACGGTCCCACCAACACCTGTCTGATCTCCACGTCCATCCAGTTTTCTCTCCTGCGCTCCAGGATGGAGCTTCCACCTGGATGTCCCTCAGACACCTCTCAGCCAACATTTCACGCCTAAACTCCTGACCTTGCTCCTTCTCCTCTGGAGTGCCCAACGTCCCTCCAGGTCCCCCGACCAGAAGAAGAGGATGTCTCTTAGTCCTCTTCCTCCTCCCCTCCCATAGTGGATCCTATAGACCCCGTGATCCCGTACCTCTCTGATCCATCCCCTCTTCCCCATTCCTGACTATCCAGGCTCAGACTTCACCACCTGACACTTGGGCTTCCCAACAGCCTCCCCTCCAATCCATCATCCACAGAGATCACCCAGAGTATCCTTTCCAAAATGCAAACCTCACCACGCCCTCCCTCTCCCAACCAAATCCGTCTGTGGCTCCCCACTGCCCTCAGGTTTGTCCAGTCTCCTTAACTGCCTGCCAAGACCCAGTCCCAGTGGGATTTGTCTCCCCAAAGACTCCCCCACCCACCCAGCACTTCAGCCACATGGGACTCCGCACTGGTTCCTGCCCCAAACTTCTGCCCAGGATGCTCTTTCCCTTCCTCTCCACCTGCCATCGTCCACTCTAACGCCACCTGCTCCAGGAAGTGCCCCGAGACTGCCCACAGAATCAGAACGACCTGCCCCTCCTTAGGCCCTGCCCCACGTAGTTCCACCCTCTCTCCAGGTCACTTCCCACATTCTCCTTGGTGCCCCTCTCGCCAACCAGTCTGAGCAGGGGCGGGCGTTCTTTCTCTCTGTGTTCCCGTGTCCCCCGCCTGGGCCCAGCCCCAGGCCTGGTGCACAGAAGACCTCGGCAATTATTACTTGATCCGACAGAGGGAAAGCGCCAAGTTCACCTCTGGCCTAAGAGGGGGCCTGGGGTGGGGGCAGAGGAGGGGGCAAATGGGCCAACCAAGACCTGGGGCCCACCCAGGTCCAAGGAGAGCACAGCTTGGGTGGAGGAGGGGCACTGAATTGGTGGAGAGGGTGAAGGGACTGCAGTGGAGATGGCTCAGGGGCCAGGTCTGATCCTGAAGAAGTGCCTTCCCTGCTCCCGCCTCCTCTGTGTCCCCAACTGAGAAGTGATCATAACCATCCCAGGCCTACCCAGTTCCCAGGGGCCCTGTGGAGTGACAACGACGATGACGATGATGAAAATGAAGATGGAGACAACAAAACCACTATCAACACCAACATGGGCTCGGCACTGACCACCCGAGGCACAGTGCTGAGGACTTTGTTGGCACGATCCCAGTTAACCCTCATGCTACCGGTTGGCGACATTGCTAGCATCCCCATTCCACACATGGGGTTAGAGAGCCTGAGCAACCTGGCTGGGCACACAGTGGGTGTGAAAGCCTTGGTGTGCATGGGAAATGTACCCAGTAGGGGGCCCAGGCGACCTAGAATTCCCACCCGCCTTTTGCTCCTCGTCTCAAGCATGGCTCCAGCAATCCCTCGCCTCCCCCAGGAGCCTTCCTGAATGTTTATGCCTCAGTGACCCCTGACCCCTCCAGGGAGGCCTCCCTGATTATTCCAGTTGTACTGACCTCCCCAGCTCAGCCCCTGAGTGTGCAGTGTTGCTCTCCCCCGCCCCCAGTTATCCCTAGTCGGGCACCAGGGCACCCAGATGAGACTGAGTCTCAGGTCCACCCCAGGAAAGAGCCCTCAGAGCACGGCACCCAGGCCTGGGCCTGCCAGTCCTACCTCTTCTTGGTGGGGGTGAGCTCCGCCGGCCTCTTCTCCTGCAGGATGGCAGGGTGCGCACCGGGGATGGTGGCTCGTCTGCCCATGAGGGGCATCATCTCCTTGGGGTGGGCATTCATGGCTGGAACACAGCTCAGAGGTGAGGTCAAGGAGGCCTAGAGGAGCTTCAGGGGGCTCCAGACCCCTGTGTGGCACATCATGTGGCCCCTGCTCACACCCCCTAGGACAGGGAGCTCACTCCCTTCCTTCCCAGGCCACCAACACTTCTCAGGGGCAGGGAGACTATCCCCACACCTTCCCCTGCTCTCTGCTCCAGCCCCCTGCTCCTGTGGGTGCTAGGAGAGCCCAGAAGAGCTTCCAGGTAGAGACCACCATGCCCTTAGCCTCTCTCAAGACATCATCACCAGCCCCACCAACCTCCAGGTGGACTCCTGAGAATAAGTTCTGCCTTCTCAATGTCCTCTCAGGTTTTGTGTTCAGAGCTCTCCTCAACAGAGCAGGACTGTCATCTCCTTTGCTCTAGACGCTATGCTCCTAATATCACAGCCTCAGGGTCCTCTGGTTTTTGGATTTCTCAGCACACTGGTGGTCTCTGCAGTTAACACACTGATCACCTCTCTCACCCACCAGAAGCTGAGTGTAGCCAGCCTCGTGGCTGTCTGTCCAGTGGATTCCCTTCTCGCCTGGAGGGAACAGCTAAGCCTCCTCTCCTGGGGCAGAGAAGGCAGCCCTCAGTCCAGACCTGCTTTATTGATGCTCAGTACGGCTGGACCCTGTGCTGGGCTCATAGGAAGATGCTAGGAAGAGGGACTGGTAGATCTTCCGAGGAGACTGTGCAGAGGATGGGCAATCCAGACAGCCTGAGCAAAGAGCAGGGGTCGAGAAAGTTCAGCGAGTGGCAAGGAGCTGGTGGGCTGGAGAGCCTGGTCATTCATGGGGAGCACTGGCAGGGAGAGCAGGCTGGGCCACACTGTGAAGGCCCAGAACACAGTCAGGAGCTGTGGCTCATCTCCAGGGCAGCGGCAGCCGGGACATGGAAGGGCTCCAGGTTATAGCTACGTTAGAGAGAGCAGGCTGCATGGGAGGTGGAGACCAGGACCAAGGGGCCGGGAGGAAGCTGCTGCGGGGCCATCAGGACGGGGAAGGGTAGGCTGGCCATAGAGGGGGAGATGGACAGGTGAAAGCGTGTGGATAGGAGGTGACTGTGCAGCATTTAAAGGGGGACCAGTCTCAGCTGGAGCTGTCCACAGAGAGCCCCCTCAGAGTCACAGAGGTGGGATGGGGGAGGATTACTGTAAGAAGAGCCCAGCTGCGTGGGGTGGAGCTGGGGCCACTGGTGATCCTGCCTCAACCAAGAAAGCCGCCGGGAGGAAGACTCTAGAGCAGGTTGCCATCCGACTGGAGTGAGGTTTGGACAGAGGACAGCCCCTCCCCCACCCCGACTAAAAGTGAGCAGCCTTGGGAGAGGAGGAGGCGTCCAGGGGAGGCCTTTGGCCCTGGAATGCGGGCCCCATGAGGCAGGGAGTTTGAGGAGGGCCTTCCAGGCCAGACAGGTGGAAAAGCCCATTGAGAGAGAACGGTGAACAGCCAGGTCCCTGGCCGTGTCCCCAGTCACAGCCCGATGAGGATGGGTGGTCTTTACCACCTTCCCCAACCCAGGGTGACCCATGGACAGGTGGGGCTAAAAGGCTGGGCTGGGTCAAGAGTGAAGGAGAGGGATGAGGGACGTGTCTCTGACCCCTCCCTGGGCCTCTGTTTTCCTCCCTGAGAAATGGGCCGAATGCTCCCCAAGGACCCTAAAGCTCTCACCCAGGAGAGCTGGCTGTTCCATCCTCCCTGCTCTGGGCCCGTGAGTGTGGGGCAGCCCTGGGCAGCCGGGGCAGGAGAGGGTCGGGAAAACTTTAGACCGGGGCTGCGGCAGCTATAATTAGCTCCCTGAGTCACACCTTAAACTGCATTCTCACCTGCTGGACTCTCTCCCTGCCCTGGCCCTCCCTCTCTCGGGGATTGGGTTTTTTCACCTTACCTGGGAAGTGCCTCCCGAGCCCTAAGACAGACTGGAATGGCTTTTCCTAGGACATGGACCAGGCCCGGGGCCACAGGGAGCCCTCACAGCTGCTGACCCACCACCTATGGGTTGTCTGGACCCTGTCTGTCTCAAGCTCTGGGGCCACCTCGTGCCATCCTGAGCTGTCATCACACTACTGCCCTGGAGAGTCACATCCCTGGGCCTGCTGGGGGAGACAGGAGCCTCACTTCTGGCCCTGGGCAACTGTGAGCATTCTCCCTGCCCAAGATCCCAAACCTCAGGGAAAGGTTCCCGGACCCATCAGAACCTGTGCCCCTGGACACTCCCTGCCGCCAAGAGCTCACGTCTAGTCTTGTTTCCCCTGCCAGACGCCCAAGCTCCCTCCCAACCTTCCCCCGAGGCCTGTTGGCAAAGGGCAGACATGGCCCAGAAGACCCCTGAGGTCCTCACTCTGGGCTGTCCCAGGGCCTTGGAGGGCGCTGGCTGCCATGTGCGGTGAGGACTCACCTGGTGAGGTCCAGGCGGTCGTGGCTACCCTTGCTCTGAGATCACCGCATGTCCCAGGCCCAAGGCCCCTCAGTGGGACTGTGGCTGAGGAGGCAAGAGGCTCTCATCGCAGGCAGAGGGATGGCTGGAATGAAGCGTCGGAGGCAGAACTGGCCAGGCCACCTGCCCTAAGTGCACAGGCAGGCCACACCCACCAGCCATAGCTGTAGCGCCTGCCCGCCCACTTGCCCTGTGTGAGTCACCCCCACACCCAGGCTCATTCCAACCCTGGAGATGGCAGGAGAGGCAGCAGATCCCAAGGCTGAAGTTCTGGTCCCAACTCTTCCCTCTCTTGTCTCGATGCTTCCCATCATGGGCCTCAGTTTCCCCAACTGGGAAATGAGAATCATAATACCTACTTCCCAGGAATGCTGTGGGGAGTCAAAGAGCTCCTGCTGGTGGGAGGGCCTAATGAACAGTCAAGTGCTCTGTCCTGAGACCCGGGAGGCAAGGCCACAGCTACAGACTGGCCCAGCTGACCCCAAGGCAGCCAGCCTCAAGATTTGGTATCCATCCTTCAAAGTCTGGGCTCAAGTCCCCTCAGAGACAAAGGAAGTCCCCATCCAGTCCTCCCCAGCAGAAATTAGGCTCCACAGACCTTGGTGTCAGATGGCCTCAGTCCTTTCTGACTGCATGGCCTTGGGAAAGTCATTTCTCCCGAGCCTCAGTTTCCTCATCTGTGAAATGTGCATAATAAACCCACCTTGCAGAGTTACCGTGGGGCCTAAATGAGAGAACACATAGAAAGGGCTAGAACAAGTCCCAGAGCTCAGAAAGAACTCATTAAACCAGGACAGCTATTAGCTATTATTTTTTTTGTCATGCGATTCATTCTCCCAGCAACCACCAGGCCACCTGCCTCCATGGCCAGAGCTTCAAGGAACACCCTGTGCCCTCCCTGGGGCCCAGGCCACAGCCAGGAAGGGGGCGGAGCTAGTCTGGCGGGCCTGCCTCTCTCCACATCACTCAGGAATTGCATACCTGTTCCTGCAGGCAGGACTGGACTGGGATGGGGCAGGAAGTCTCTGCTGACAGGGACGGTGGCCCCAGTGACTGACGCAGCAGGGACTTCCCTGACTGCCACCGGGGGCAAGCCCCTCGATCCTTCATCACCACAACCTGCCAGGCCTGGGGAGAGGCAGGTGGCGGGGTCAGGCTTCTGACCATGGGGCAGGAGGACCCGTGGCCAGGAAGGGGCAGAAAATCTGGCTTTGTGGCCAATAGGCTTTGGGTGTGAGTGAAGTAGGGGCTGTTTCCCAAAGTTCCCACACACACAGTTCAAAATCTCCTCACGCCCTGAAACTCCACATTAAAGCCCCGTCTCGGACCAAGCGTAGTCCTTCCTTTATTACTCAGTTAATTGCCCCTCCTGACTCAGCCTCTTGCCCCTCCCAGCTCGCTTCTGGTTGCCTCAGAGCCCTGGGGGTTCAGTGGTTGCCCAATTTCAGGGCTTATGTTTTGCCTTGTGTTAGCACATTTTCTCAAAGGCCAGGCTGGAGCTGGCTAAAAAAACCCCTGTCTCCCACCCAAAGTCACACACTCTGCCTGGTGAGGAGTAAGGGGGCCCCCCCTCTGCTGTGTGTGGGCCAGGGTCCAGGTTGCCGGACAGACTCAGAGCCACCACCCCGACGCCCACCCCAAACGCATGGAAGCGGCAGCTCCACCCCTTTGGACTGGTCCCCATTCAATCCCATTCAATCCAACACATAGTGTGGATTAAACCCACACAGGCAGGCAAGCAGCGGGCCAGTGTGGGCTTCAGAGCTGGGGAAGGTGGGCCCTGTGGGAGAAGGCTCAGGCGGGAATCCTAACCCCAGCAGACAGGTCATGAGGACAAAGAGGACTCAGGCCACCAAGAAGGGAGGTGGAGGATGGGTTCAGGGGAGAAGGAGCATTTAGACTGCACTCTGAAGGAGGGAGGAGCATCTACAGGAGAAGAGCCATGGAAGCAGGGACTCAGAGGCAGGAGACCTCAGTGCGTTCAAGGAGCGGTGACGAGCTTGGCCAACGTGAATTCGGTGGGGTATCAGAGCTGGGCTGCCACATCTGGCTGCAGCCCACTGAGTGGCCCCAGGCCACTGAGTCAGCCATGACCCCTTAGTCACAAAGGGCTGTGCTGGCCCAATCTTACAGGGTATGGGGCCCAGGGCCTTGTTGGGGATGCTGTCACCAGTGTGGTCAGACAGGGAACTGATGGGCTGAGCCAGCAGTTCAAACCAAGGCAGTGCCACTGCCTGTCTGAAGCCCGGCTCCGGCTTGTCCTAGCGTAATTCCTGTCCTGTGTTTGGGCCCCACGCAGCACAGGGGCAGGAGGATGGAGCGGGAGTCCTGCCTCCTTCTGCCAAGCCTGGAGCCCCGTAGAATCCAGTATTGCCTGCTCAGCCTTGACTGCCACGTGGGTGACCGGTAGGACTCATTCACAGCCTGGAAGAACTCACAAACTGCCCTCCACAATCCAGCTCCTCATTCCTTGGTGCAGCCGTGAGCTAAGTTATGCCCAGCCGTCATCAGTGACCTTAGCTCTAACTCTGACAGTGGATGGAACCAGCAGAGCCTAAAGAGGTAACACTCCCAGGAGGGACCTTTCAAACCAGCTGTGCGTGTGGAGCAAAATAACAAGGGGAGATAGGGTCAGGGGTGGGCTGCTGGCAGGAAGAGGGAAAGGGCAGCCTCTGGATATTTCTGCCTCAGCCCTGCTCCCCAGAGGCCTGAATTTCAGGCAGTCCCTAGACATCTGCCAACATACCCCACATGTGCCATTTTGACAGACTGAGGTCAGAGCGGAAGCCTCAGTCAGCAGTGTCTCTCTGAGCCATATCTGTCTGCTGTGGACAGTAAAATGCCCCACAGAGGACACACCAGGCAGGCATCAGGCCCAGACAGCAGGCCCCCAAGGTTCCCCTCAAGAGAGAAGAGGGAGAAAAGGGGTTTCTGTGGGGTGGGTGCAGCCAGGGAGGGGCTGACCCCTTGGCCCGCTCTAGGAAACACCCCACTGGGTGCAGCGTAGAAGGAGGAGGGACTGGGAACCAGGCAGAGCCCCATCAGCAGCCTTGGGCCTAAGCAGGCCCACTCGACAGTGGTCAGAAGAGGGTCCGTCTGCGTCCTGGCAAGCCATAGCTGTCCCTGGGCTAGAAGAGCGGAGCAGCCCCATCGGAGATTCTGGGTTGTGGCTCATCCCGCCTCCAAGTGATGGAGGGGGGACATGGAGACAGAGAGAGACAAAGAGACAGTGACAGATACAAAAAGAAAAAGAATGGGCTAGATGCAGGCATGTCCTGTAAACAACCCAGGTTCACACAAAATGTTGTGATCATTCATTTCATAAAAGACCACCACAAGATTTCTCCCAGCTCTGAGTTGGAAAGTTGATCCAATTTGCAGAAACTTTCAGAGACCTGACATCTATGCGACATTTTCTGAGGAAGGCCTGCAGGAAGAGCAACAGGTCCCGGGTCCACAAAGGGAGCCAGAAGCCCTCCCCTCTCCCTTCTGACCGGAGACGGGCCGGCCTGCCCCAGCCCGTTCTCTGCCGGGAAGCCAGGCCTGCAGTTAAGTTCCCGGCTTTAGAGTCAGACTGCCTGGGGTTAGACCCAGGCGATGCTGTCTGCTGGCTGTGTAACCTTATTAACTGTCCCAGCCCCGGTTTTCTCGTCTATAAAATGGAGCTAATAACAGCCGTTCACGGGCTGTTAGGAGGCTTGAAGGCTAACGCACATTGAACACTTGGCATAAACACTCAATACAGTCTAGCCGTCAGTATTCCTTGTCTATGCTCATTGGTTGTGGTCTGGCCACGGCTCACTTCACACCCGGCCACCTCATTAACAGCCCTCGGGCTCCTCTGTCAGACCTCGTGTGTGGGGGCAGATGTGATGCTGGAGAATGTGGAGGAGGGAGTCCTGGTGTCTCCCTCAGGTACCACTCTCACGTTATGACTGAAGCCCCAGCCTCAGCTAATGTCATCCATCCTTTCATCAACCAACAGCCAACAATTCCGTGAGCGGGCAGCTCACTCCACACTGCACAGACATTCACATAACCCTGCCAGCGACTGGGCCATCTCTTCTGGATCATTGTTTGTTGAGTTCTATTCCACAAAGTCAGCAAACTTTTCTGTAAAGGGCCAGATAGTAAATATTTTAGGCTTTGCAGCCTATTCGGTCTCTGTTGCAACTACTCCACTCTGCACTGCAGCCTGAGAGCAGCCATAGACAGCACGGAAATGAATGGCCATGCTGTGTTCCAATAAAAGTTTGTTTACAAGAACAGGTGGCAGACAGGATTTGGCCCACAGCCCACAGTTTGCTGAGTATGGTAGGTGTATGCAGGAAGGAGTGCCCTCGCCCACGGGTCACAGCTAAAGGGTGACCAGAGGCTTCTGGCTGTACAGGGTAGTACACACACATGCATGCACACATGGACCACACAGAGCCAATCAGCTGTGCTGGCCCAATGAGTGGCACAAAGTTCACACTTGATATGATACATGTTTGTTTATTTATTCATTTGATGGATGACAGGATGGATGGAAGCAGAAGCATGTGCCACTGCAGGGGGCAGGACTATGGCCACTACAAATGAAAGATCAAAAAATTCTTGCCACGTGGCTTTGGGACATGATTCTGTACTTTTATTTGAACAGCAATAGAGCTAATATTTTTGGAATCATGATGTATCACAGAAGGATGAAGTCATTCTGAAAAAAACCTGCTGCTGGCAGAGCTGGCAGTGGGGTGGCCTCTCCCACCTCTCTGAGCATGAACGACCTCAGCCCCTGACCACCCTGGACAGGGAGACATGGAAGAAGGCTTCCGGTGTTTTACATCCAAGGACATGTTTTGTTCTAAAAGGTGTTTTCCTGGGCTTCGTTTACTTTCACTCCCAATAAGATGAAATCAAAGTTAACAGGAGCGTCACATATGTCCAAGCAGAGAGTCATCATTCGTGATGTTTAATAAAGTCAGTAAAACCTTGAAAGCAAGCTCCTCTCCTGTTGGGAGATCCACCTGGGGACAGGGAGGGTTGGATGAAGATCTCTTCCCATGCATCCAACGTGCTTCCCATGGCTTATCTGGTCAATACAGCCTGGGAAAGTGCCTGGGCAGGCGCATACCAGGCCAGGCTGCTGAGAGTACTGGTGCTCCCTACCCAGCCCCCAAGCCACTGTTTGGTACCCCAAGGCCCACACTGTTGAGAGCCCCCTGTGAGGGTCCCTCACTTCTCCCCTGAAGCAGCAGGATCCTTGCAGATCTCAGCATCTTCTGGCTTGAGGGACCCTGCAAAGTGCCTCAGATTAACTTCCTCGGGAGGGGCAGGGTGTCTTTCTCGAACACTTGCCTCTCTTAAAAGGGGAGCCAGGGAAAAGTTCTTCCAGTTTCTCCCTGAAACTGAAGAGTAAGACATCATTACTGTCTTGGATGCAGCAAAACAACAATAAACATTTATTTGTTGGCCTTACCAATCTCCAGATAATAATCTTTCACCCCATGCTGACTGACTTGTGGCCTCATGAGAGGCCATTGTTTGCCTCTCTTGCCTCCATTCCCTCCCTGCCCACATGGAGGGAGAGAGGGTCTCCACAGAGCAACACTGGGCCTGCCCTGGGAGTGGCTCGACACCGGATCAGCTCTAGGGTGATGGACACCAGTCAAAGAATCAGGATTTGGGGTCCAGGCCCCACTGGCGCACAGCAGATTGGGAACAATGCCAAGGGAACCCTAGTGACACTGGGCCTCAAACAGGGCTCTCAAGTGTGGCCTGATATCCCAGGAAGCTCCTGAAGATGACCCCATTGTCACCCCATAGCCACCTCCAGCTCCCCAGCCACTTCAGAGAAATGACAGGCAAGGGGAAAAGCTGTGCGTGCTCTCCTTCCATCCACCAGAGCCTTGGTCAGCCACGCCCTCTGGTTGGCCACCTTGGATGAGATCTCTCTGGAAAATCAGCCTAAATTCACACCTCCCACCCTCAGGCCACAGTTCAGGCCCCTCTGCTGGTGTCCAATGCCGGCCACATTTCAAAGGCATCAGGAATGCCGGATACTGGGCCCATCGTGACCATTCTAGCTGAATTCTCCAGGTCCTGGTGTTTCCCCCAGGCCCACGGCTGACATTGGTCTGTGCCCCAACCCCAGGCTGACACCAGGCATGAATTGCTGAAGGGGATCCCTCAGGGAACCAGAGCATAAAAGCGGGAGGGCTCCATGGGGAGACAGGCCAGGTGCTCACTGACATACATCTCTGGCTGGCTGGGTGGTAGGGACTCAGCCTCAGAGACTGCCTGGCCCAGCTCCAGCCCCAGGGCCCTTAAAAGAGGCATGGGGTTCCCAGTCCCGAGGCCAAGACCTCCTCAAGTGCTCTCTCAGCTCTTCTGCTGACCAGTTTTCTTCCCTGGCCTTTCTCTCATGCACCCCGTCAACTCCTCCCAATCACATGCACTATGTGGGTGGGGGGAGAGCTTTGTCATCTAAATTATTTGACTACTGATTATTGGATTTGTCCCTGTTGCAAAGTTGTATAGGGACGCAAAATCTTCAGGAAACATTCACTAATTAATTATAAGTGTGAAATGGGGGAACCTCTAACCATCCCCCAGCCCCAACCCAATTAACATGAATGTGCATATCCCTGCCACAGGGTCAATGTCTTTATTAATATCACAGTGAATGGGCACATTGTAAACAGCCAAGAATGTCATGCAAACATAATGCACATCATCCGCGAAGTGAAACAGCAAATCTTGGAAAGATGTGAGATTTCATGAAATCGATAAGACCAATGATGGAAAACTGCTCAAGCCACGTGCAAAACCATCTTCCAATGGCTCTGTGGCAAAGTTAGACCAGCTAACAACTGAAGAAGAGATCATCAATAAGTATTGTGACGTGACATGGGGAGTGCTTCCAATGCGACTTGTGGGAAAATAACAGGATTGCAGGAGGCCTCTGGGAAAACTGACGAAGCCATTGAGTAGTTTTCCAAAAGGAAGCCTCTTGATAGAGTTCCACTTCCAGCTCTGGTGGGGAATCCAGTACAAGGCTAGCCATCCTGCTGTAAACAATCACAGAACTGGACACAATACATGCAGCAATGTTTTCAGGCACAGGAAAACAGGCAGTAAAAACGGCCATTGCTGAGAGAGGTGACATTCATAAGGTGAGCCCCAGGATGGCCCCAATGTTTTGCTCAGGGACAAGCTCTCTGACTACCGTGCAGTGAGCAGGAGTCCAGGATGAGCATGGCAGTGCCTCTGAGCTAAGGAAAAGAGATCAGAGTTTGGGGCAGCTGAAGCAGCTAGAATCTGTGGGACAGGGCAGAGGAGAAGACAAAGATGGGAGCTGCAGTGTGGAGGTCCAGAAGTCTTTGGGACGGAGTGCCCCCAGGTCCTTGGCTGAGCTGGGCTGAGCTTGCTCAGGGTGAGACTGCATGAGGCTTACCAGAGAGTGGCCGCTATAGGGTTGAAAGTGGGACAGAGACACTGGAGGTTGAGCAGCACTGAGGGATACTGGAGGTCCAGCCCAGTGAGAGTGGAGAGACCTCCTTAACACCCTTATCCTACTCTGAGGATCAAACTGAGACGCCAGAAATGCCCTCCTTACTCTACAGCCCTAGAGTAAGTTCTACTCAAGACCCACCCTAACGAACGCTAATACCAAGTCCTGACGAGATCCTCAGTGGAAACAGTCAGGAGGTTGAATCCCACCAGCTTGATGGGACTGGCAAACACCTCGGCATTTCCACAGATCTATCATAATAAAGTTTAAAACTCAGCCTACACAATTTCAAGGTGATTCATCAGTAACTGAACAGCCAACTAGAACAAAAATTCAACCCAGAGTCTCTGCAACACATTCTTCACGATGCCCAGTATACAAGGAAAAGTTACAAGATGTGCAAAGAAACAGGGAAATGTGCCTCACAGTCAGGGAAAAAGGCAGTCAATAGAAACTGACCCCAAGGTGGCCCAGATGTTGGATTTAGCAGATTTAGCAGACAGAGAGAGTAAAGCAGCTATTATAAATACGTTCAGAGAACCAAAGGAGAATATGGTCTTGATGACAGAACAGCTAGGCACTCTCAGGAGAGAAATGGAAACGGTAAAAAATAACGAAATAGAAATTCTAAAAGCGAATAGCACAATACGTGAAATGTAATATTCCCTGTGTGGGCTTACTAGCAGTTTGGAGATGGCTGAGGAAAGGCTCAGTGTACTTGAAGACAGATCAATAGAAATCACCAAATTTGAGGAACACAGGGAAAAAACAGTGAGGAAAAACGAACAAAGCCTCAGAAACCTATGGGACGACATCAGATGGTCTAACGTACATGTAACTGGGGTCCCAAAAGGAGAAGAGAGGGAGAATGAAGCAAAATAGATATTGTTCCCCAAATTTGATGAAACCTCCTGATGCACAGACGCAAGAATCTCAGCAAACCTCAAGCAGGATGAAACCAAAGAAAATCATACCTGAGCACATCTCAGTCAAACTACTGAAAACCAAAGAATTCTACACCCAATGAAAATATTCTTCAAATGTGAGGGTGACATGAATGTTTTCAGGTGAACAACAGCTGATGTAAACTAATCTATAGTGATGGAAATAGATAACTAGTTACCTGGGATGGGGAGGGTGGAAATGACCACAAAGGAGGGTACTCTCTGCCTTGATGGGAATGTTTTCTCTCTTGAGCGGGGTGGTGCGCGCCTGAATGTATATATTTGTCGAAACCTATCAAACTGTATGTGTAAAATGTGTACGTTTTATTGTGTGTAAATTATACCTCAATGAAGTTGGTCTTTTTTACAGTTTATGAAATATAAAAATGAGCGTCCCTATGGAGCGATATCAAATATGATAGATGTAGCATCATGCTGTCAGGCAAGTTGGTCTGAAAACTTACTCCCCTTCCCCCACCCTGCCAAAAAAAGCAAACTATCAACAGTTGATTCATTCTTTGTTCATGTCAAGAATTAGCGACATCAGCCAAAAGGCGAGGTAGACAGCTCCAAACACCCAGGCCTCCACAAAACATCAGAAAAACACGCAGACACTTCGAGATCAACGCTGTCAGCACTCTGGGAGACAGTCCAAGGTTACAGCAACCAAGCCAGCGCTGAATCAAGAACAAGGCTTTTGTTTCTGGCAGTGACTTTCCGCAGGGCTGTTCTGTCCAAGATGTACCCTTTACTCGTCCCATTCTTCCCTCCTCTGCCTGCCTGGCTGTGTCCACGCGAGGGGAGTGTGCACGTGCCCCCACTTGTCCGTAAGCCTCACGGAGCTGAGTGCAGACGCTGGGTGTGAGGAAGGGGCAGAGGAGAGAGGGCAGCCCACCACGAGGCCGGCCCGCCCAGGGAGCTGGATGTGGGCTGAGCTGCTTCCACTGGGGCACTGAGGACAGGCGCGGGGCCAGGGGCGCTGGCAGAGCCGTACGCATGCGCACACAGAGCAGGCAGCCGTGCAGGTGTACCTGAGAGCACGAGTACCCGTGACCGTGTGTGAGCCAGTGGTTGACACTGGCGCTGCCACAGCACCCAGGCTGTGGGGCAGGAAGGTCTGCAAGGAGTGGGGGACCCCAAGGTTTCATCTGCCCAACATCAGGCCACCTCCATGCCACAGCACCCTCCCCTCACGCCTCACCTCTGCCCGACCGCAGGGAGAAGCTCAGGGTGCGCTTGATGTCCTCACAGTTGCCAGGGTCTTCATTGATGATGCCCACGTTGGTGTTCCAGGTGGTCCAGTTCACCTCATCCACCCTGCAGGGTGAGGAGACAGGGCAGCAGGGAGCTGGTGGCCTGGGAGCCATGCCCAGCTTCCTAGGTCGAGGGCTTGACCCCACGGGCAGTCCCAAGAAGCCCATAGACCAGGATGGGGAGACAGAGTGGTAGGGGTGGGCCAAGGAGGGCCTGCCTTTGGACACCACCCCTACTAGGGGACCCAGGGACTTTAAATATTGGAGTCTTGGATCTGACCCTAATCACTAAATGACCCCTTCTGGGCCCCCTCATTTTCCAGTATTTAATGTCAGGGTCTCACCAGCTAAGATCTAAGGTGGGTCCCCTAAGCCCACAGCTGAGCCCTGGGGCAGTCCCTGTACCTAGAGCTGGCCTTGGAAGAGTCCTCTATGCCCATGACTGGCCCCAAGAGGGGCTGAGGCAGGCCTCTATACCCACGGCTGGCTCCAGGTGCATCCCCCATACCCCTTAGCTGAGCCCCTGAGCTCCCCAAGCTTTGGTTCCTGCCCAGGCATTACCTGAAACACCACCTGTAGTCGTCCTTGCCATCAGGCGTGTACCCAACCTGCAGCAGCTTGCCTGAGCGGAAGGCCTTCCTTATACACTTAAGGAAGCTCTTCTCCGTGTCCAGGATGGTGATGGCTCTCTGTGGGAAGACACAAAGGGTGGAGGGGCAGAGGGCTCATCCAGGGACTGCCCCTTGTTACTGGTGTGGCTGCTAAGATCAGCCTCTTCAGGGTTTCTCCCAGCCCCAGCACGTCTGAGCTGGACCTCCCGTGGCCTCTAAACTGGGCTTGTTTCCATTGCAGGTGCACACTCCATGGAACGAGCTCAGCCTGCCCAGCCCCATGAGAGATGTGGAGTGACCAGCCCCAGACCCTTCCCTGAGGAGCTCACGAAGGGGCAACATAGCGCAGTGGTTAAGAGCAGGCCTCTGGAGCAAGACTTCAGCGGCTGAATCCTAGCTGGGCTGCTCACTAGTTGCCTTGGACACAGCTACCTAATTCCTCTATGCCTTGGTGCCTTCATCCAAAACTGCGGATAGTAATAGGACCCACTTGATAGCATCGTTGTGAGAATTAAATGAGAGCATGTAAGTGAGACACACAGAAGAGCACCTGGCATAGAGCCAATGCCACTTAATAAGAATGATAGCTCTATTATTAGTTGGGAAGGCAGATGTGGACCAGGCAGCTAAAAAATGCAGCTGTCAGGGCCCACCCCGTATTAGCCACCCGCTCTGAGTTTGGTCTCTGGTGCCCACCCTAGACAAGTTCCTCCGAGGTGGGCACTGCACAGGGCTAAGCCCTTTATCTCCTTCCCTCGAGGACCACTTAGCCCACGTAAACACAGTGTCTATGAACACCAGCTGATGACCTTGCAGGAGGAGCCAGAAGGGAGTTGGCTAAGGGAGATGCTGCTGCTGGACCCCCGGGGCCTAGCTGGACTTTCCACCTCCTCCTCAAACCTGCAGGGGCTCATGCGCCCAGCTGTGTTAAGCAGCAGACAGAGAAGCTGACAGTCTCCTGCTGTGCGCACCCCACCACCTGACCCACCTGCAGCTTCCAGATGTTCTTACTCTCCTGCGAGATCTTGTTGACGGTTTCCCCCATGAGGGCGATGAGCATGTTGAGCAGGAGGATGTAGGTGAGAATCACGTAGGCCAGCAACAGGATGATGAAGACAGCCTTGAAGTCGTAGTTCTCCGTGAACTCCAGGTCGCCCATTCCGATGGTGAATTTGAACAGCTCCAGACACGTGGAGTACAGGCTATTGTAGGAGCTGTCAGGTGACCGGCAGCCATGCCCTCGCCACCTGTGTGACGTGGATTCAGCCAGCACGGAGTCATTCTTCCCGTCCTCAATCAGTGTCACCACCGCTACAGGGCATAGGGAGGGAGGGGTGTGGCTGGATGGAAGCCAAGAGCCCAGGTCCCCCAATATACACACCCGCTACCCCAGGATGGGTCTGCTGCGGGGATGCTACTTGGCTATGCAGCACCTTTGTGTGAATTTAAAAAATAATCATAATAGGGGCTGGCCCCGTGGCCGAGTGGTTAAGTTCGCGCGCTCCGCTGCAGGCGGCCCAGTGTTTCGTCGGTTCGAATCCTGGGCGCGGACATGGCACTGCTCGTCAGACCACGCTGAGGCAGCGTCCCACATGCCACAACTAGAGGAACCCACAACGAAGAATACACAACTATGTACCGGGGGGCTTTGGGGAGAAAAAGGAAAAAATAAAATCTTTAAAAAATAATAATAAATAATAATAATAATAATAATAAGCACCCTTTTCTTCAAAACTATCAGAAAATTGTCATAATATACTGTTTCGTTACAATAAGAACTTTATCATCATCTGCTAGGAAAAAAATGTTGAAATAAATATACAAATCCAGATTTACAATGAGAATACAGCCACCTTTGTGCAGTGCACAACATGCCTAATCTTACATATCAGCCCTGGATCCACGCCCAATTTCTCAGTGACACCCTGTCTGCCTGTGCCTCTTAGAGGGTGGCCCAGAGCCAGCCCCTTCCAGAACTGTGGGGGCTAAGCAGCTCAGAGCAGAATGGCCTCCTGCAGTATTCTGCACTCTTCTTTGGGAAATGTAGTCCGGAGCCTGAGAGCTTCTGTGGCAGTTGTGTCCTGTGGTTACTGCATATCCGGGATCCACTAACCCCCGGGGCCTAACCCCTTCCCGTGGCTACTGACCCCAGGGCCTTCAGACCAGGTGCCAGAGCCCACGCCAATCCATACGAGGCAAAGCCCTTGTCAAAGCCGCCCCTAACTCCCAGACTAAGCTTCCAAAACAGGCTGCAGGGCGGGGCTGGGAGAGGGTATAGCGTGCGAGCCGCGTAACTGCAGGACTCAGAGGAGGATCACAGCGGAGCCAGGTGCTCAAATAATTATGTGGATGTGTCAAAAGGGCACAGGAACCAGCTTGAAGAGGCTCCCAATGACAACTTCTCAGACGATTTGAGCATCGAAGTAGGTGATAATAGTAAGGAGCGATAACCATTTAACAAAGTGAGAATCCATCAAAAAACAAAAAGAATCTACGAGGCCATACCGATGTCAATAATTAAATGTGGGAGAATGGAAAGTTCTTCCTTACAATAGAATGCCAGCAAACAAAGGCAGAAGAAACAAAGTCAGAACGTCATCATTTGGCAACTATGAGGATTAGGTGATTCCAGTGAGAACCAGCAGTGGATGCTCAAACCACTGGGAGAAACTTTGATGACAAACAGGGTGTCTAGACATAGTCTAATGCATCTCCTCACAAATTACTTACCAGTTCCAAAGGGAAAGATAAAACCTTGACAGGGGAGAAATCTGGCAGAATCACCAAAACCAAGCAATCAAAGTTAACCTCACCAGAAATGGGACGGTCAGTGTGAGACTCCTGATACAGCGCACTGAGGAAGACACACGTTCCCTCCTTGATATTCTTACCGAAGATGCACACCTGAATCTAATCACGAGGGAACATCGGACAGACCCAAATGGAGAGACACTGCACAGACTGGCCTTTATCATTGAAAATGCCAAGGTCACAAAGGACAAGGAAACATTTGAGGAACTGCTCCAGACCGAAGGAGAGGAGAGAGCCTTGAGCAATGAACGTAATGCATGGTCTGGATTTTCCTTCTCTGTAAAAGACATTATTAGGATAATTGGTGAAATTGGAATAAGGTTGTTAGACTGGCTAACAGTACTGTATCAATGTTAATTTCCTGATTTTGATCATTATACTGTGTTTATGTGAGAGAATGTCCTGAAGTATTTAGTGGGAAAGGGCTGATTGTGTCTGCAATTTACTCTGTTTTCCTTTCAAGTGTGTGGGGTGTGTGTGTGTGTGTGTGTGTGTGTGTATGGAGTATAGCAGGGAGATAAAGTGCTAAAAATGTAAAATTTGGGGAATATGGGCAAAGAGTGTAGAGAGATTTGTACTATTTTTTGCGACTTTCTGTAAGTCTGAAATAGTGTCAAAATAAAATTTAGAGGAAAAAAAACTGAGCTAAAATGCAGCTATCCTATAGGCAAGCAACACTTTGTACTTCAAAAATTAAATGATTTATGAATCCCATTTCCAGGTTCTCCTGCTCATTTCGGCGTGCTCAGTGTCACCTGCAGACACACACCCCACCGGGCCCCTCCTCACTCAGCCCTGCAGAGTCCTCTCTAGGGAAGCTGGGGGAGCAGGAGCCCTGGCTTCCTACCAGCCCCGGCCACGCCTGTTACCTGTGGAAAACCCGAACAGGAAAACGAGGTAGACAAACATGAAGCGACACAGGTCTCTCAGGATCATCTGCAGGAGAGAGCAGGCTTGTCAGAACTGTGTCGGGGCCCAGGCAGGGCCAGGACTGCGTCAGCCTGGGGGTTAACCTGGAGCCCCAGGGGAGCCAGAGAACATGCAGGAGGGCTGGGTTTGGTGGCTATCAGCTCCAGTGTCATGAGGGAGTCATCCGCAGCTCCTCAGGGCCCTTGTTCTGGAGAGGGGGGCCTGGTATACAGGGGCGCCAAGTTTCAGGGGAGCACCAAACCTAAGTCAAGGCCAGATTGCCTGATTCTTGAGGAATTCGCTGGGAAAGTGGGTCCTGAGCCAAACCAGCACTTCCCCAGGCTGTACATAGGGTAGACAGAATTTGTGGGACCGTGACCCCCACACTCACAAGGTAAAGTGGCTCTTTAGAGAACCCACTCGGGCACTGGCACCCACCTTCTCGATCATGACGGCATAGATGCCCATCTGCTGGAAGCCACGGGTATAGTAGAGCATGTTGGTCCAGCCCATGGCCAGGGAGAACACCATGGAGGCCACGTACTCCTTGCAGTGGCAGAAGTATAGCACCACGGTCCCCAGCATGAACAGCGACTGCACAAAGCTGAGGGTGGATGGACAAGGAAGCTCTGACTCAGGGCACCCAGAGGCCTGGCACCCCCACACAAGAAGACCCCAGCAGCCTGGGCCTCTCCTCAGAGATACAGACCAAAGGCTGTGGTGGGAGGTAGGCTGGGGGTCCTACCTCCTTCAGGCCGTGGTTCTAAGTGGGAGCAATGTCACCCCCAAGAGGGCAAATATTGGTTCGGGGGAGGGGACGGGTGTCTTAAAATGTTATTTTCTTTATACAAAAGCACAGATATAAATACAGTACATAAACAGCTATACAGTATATTTGTGGTATTAGTTTCATGGGAGGGGCAATTAGGAAAAAAAGTCTAAAAAGGCAGTAATGATGAAGTGCTAAGAAACACTGCTTTAGCCCCAACAACGTCCCTGCCCAGTCCCGGGAACAAGAGCCTCAGGACAACAGAGAACCTAAGAGGCCTAGGCCCGGGAGGAGGGACAGGCCACACTCTCCCGAAAAACCACGGGTAGAGTCTGTTGGTCATGCCCTCAAACTCAGGAGCAGAGCCAGGGAAGATGTCCCTCAGCTCCTTATTTGGGTGGGGGTTGCCCAATAGGAGGCCTGGACAGGGTGGAGGACATCTGGACAGTCCTATGATAGAGTCTGCTCAGTGGTCCCTTCTGCACTTATTCATCCCAGGTCTCCGTGTTCATCACGGCCTCTGCCCAAAGGTCCCCCAGCTACATGTTCACTGTGGACCACCTCACCTCCCGTCTGTGTGAGAGAACCCAGCCAAACAGGCCCTTCTGCTGATGTGAGGCTACTGAAAACTGATGTCAATAAACTGTCTCATCAATGGGAGTTCTACTGCAAAGAATAACTATTCCTCTGCATTTGCAGAACCGTGGCCAAAATATGAACTAATGCCAGTTGAAATAGGTAAAGGGCTGCCTTGGGTGGCAAATGGAGTCCCCACATAGGGATTTTGGAAGCTGGGAAGCAGTGGACAAATGGAAACTGACTTGGCAGACCCAAGAGAGCCAAATCTGAATCCATGGTGGGGAAAGCTGAGCACCCACTCTTTAATCCAGGAGCCTCAAAAGACTTCAGGACCTCTGGAGGAGAGGCAAAGACACCTAAAATAAGGAAGAGCGGAGGCTTTTCTGGAGAAGATAAAACAGAGGGTCTTTGGACGTAGTTTCATCAAACACCAGTGAAAACATTGGAGTTTTACTAAAGACAGGAGACAATGTGATTTTTATACAATACAGATTACAGAAAGCCCTCTTTTCCACTTGGCTCTCAGAAAGCTGGCGGCCAGACTTTGTCCCTCCAGCAGAAGACCAAAAAGATGCAATAGACTGACTTTGGATATTCTCCAATAAATGGTTAATCTAGACCAGCCTATAGTGAAGCTCAAAATTGATAAGCCCCATTCACACATGAAGAGCTTGCAACCAGCATTTTAGTCCTCCACTCTTAATGACGAGCAGACATCAAAGATTTCCAGATATCCTGAGGACAGCCTCCAACACGCGAGAACAAAACAAGCAAAGGAGAAACAACAACTTGGATAAAACCAAAGTTATGTAAAAAGAAGAAAAATTTACCAAAAACTATCTTAATAGCTTTAGAGCAACAAAAGAAGATATTACATCCATGAAACAAGAATAAGGTGCTATAAATAAGGAGCAAACAATTTTTTAAAAGAGCACTTAAAAATTAAAAACGTATTATCAAAAATAATAAACTAAATAGAAGGGTTGGAAATTAAAGTTGCTTTGAACCCAGAAAGACGAGCCAAAGATAAAGAGAGAGAACATAAGTGAGAAAATACAAGAACTAGTTCAGGACTAGGTCAGGAGGTTCAATATACAAATGACAGGAGTTCCAGAAGAGAGATCAAGAAATAATTCAAGAAAATATGCCAAAAATAAAGAACATAAATTTCCACATTGAAAGAGCCCACTAAGAGCCCAGAACATTGGATAAAAACAAATCCAATTAAGACACATCATTAAGTTTCAGAACACAAGGAACAAATAGAAGATACTAGAGATTTACAAAGAGAAAAACCAAAACAGGTCTTAAAAGACATCCAGAATTACAATGGCTTTGGACTTGTCATCTGTAATACTAGAAGCAAGGAAACAATGGAGAAATAACTTCAAATTTTTAAAGGAATTTTATACCCAACCAAATTATCAATCAAATGTGAAGTTATAGTAGAAATACTTCCAGACATGCCATATTTAAAAGAAATTGTACTCCCCCTTCCCCACTATGTGCCTTCTTTCTTTGGTTGAGGCTGTCCTCCCCCAAAATGAGGAAGTAGATCAAGAAAGAGGAAGATACGGGGGTCAGAAAATAAGAGATCCAAGTGAAGAGGGAGTTAACAGGGATCTCCAAGGTGCTAGTGAAGGGATAATACCCTGGATGTTCACAGGGGAGCAATGGGACTCAAGAATCAGGCACCGTGAGAGCTGTTATCACTGTGCCTTCTGCCATTATACCACTTTTTTCACCAGATGGACATACTGAAGGATGTGCTCAAATAAAACAAGGGGGGAAATCAAGAAAGAGACAGGAACTCTAACCCAGGAGGAAAGCAAGATGAATTCCAAGGTTGGCAACAAAGAGAAGTCCCAGGATGACAGCTAAGCAGCCAGCCCAGAAGACAACCAGCCCAGTGAGAGAGGGATGACAACGCTCCAGGAGGAAATCCCTCAAGAAAAAAATATGAGGGATCTGATCATATAATTTATGTGATTGATTTTGAGGAAAATTGTACCGAGAGGCTTCAAGACGTGGGAAGAATTAACAATGGGTACAAAGAAAACTAAACAAATGAAAACGAGGTAATTATTAACTTTAGAAGAAGCAAAAAGAAAAGAAATGTTATAGTATATTGTGAAACTCAACTGCAAATAATATTTGCAGAAGCATAAGAATGTAAATACTGAATGATGAGTAGAACAAAAACTATTACAAACCATACTGGAAGGCTGGAGGAGGGTAAGTAGTATAAGATGCTCAGTCTCATCTACCAGATGCATAAATGTCAGAAGAAAGAGCTAAAAGAATGGAAGGAGGATTCCACGGAATGGGAAGGGTGGGGACGCCCAACTCCTATATGGGCTATAAGCTTTTTTTTTTAAATTTAGTACTTTTTAAATTTTTACCTATGTGCATGCATAGCTTTGAGAAAATAAAATAACTTTTAACATAAGCACAATGGATCCTCCTAGGAACAGAATCGAGTTCATTGGTATAAGGTTTGGTAGGAGAACATTGCCTCTCTTAGTAAAGTAAATCAGCACTGTGCTAACCTTAGACCCTGCCCTTGAATTTGCTATTTGGGGCTAAAATGTAAGTATCTCAAGATTATGACCGGGTTTGTGAGTCATAGGGACCAGCTAGCTGCAATAGGAGGAGAAATCAACTCCTTGCACTTGCCAGGAATAGAGAGGCCCCAGGAATGAGGGAAACCTGGAGATCAGAGCAGAGGACATAATCAGAGATCCCAGGAGAAGGACCCTTCCCCATCTGGAAGCCCGCTTTGTATTCTGGGCCCTCCAAGGGAAGCTCATAAGGTTCGAGGTTATTTTATGAAGGAATTAGGTTCCCCCTGACTTCCACATTGCTTTATAACTGTGTTTTTGCTTATCTCTCTCCCCTTGAAGCCAAGATTCTCAATCAGGGGCGATTTTGTACCCCTCCCCTAAGTGGGGGGAATTTAGCAATATCTGGAGACATTTTTGATCATCAAGACTGAGGGACACAGAGAGTGCTACTGGTATCTAGTGGATCGAGGCCATGGATGCTGCCAAACATCCTACAATGCTCAGGACAGCCCCCACAACAAAGAATTATCCAGTCCAAAATGTCCAGAGGGCCAAGGTTGAGAAACACTGCCCTGCAGACTGGAAATTCCTTGAAGGAAGGAACCATGTCTATTTCATCTCAGCATTCCAGTGCCAACTCAGGGAATCCCAGATGGATGGACAAACAGATGGGAAAAATGAACTAGGGTACATCTAACTCAGACTACAAACTACGTGAGCCCACGGAACACGCCTGTCATTTGCAGCACCTGGAACGTCTCTGGCACAGAGTGGACCTCAGTATTCATTCACCCAACAAACGTTTATTGAGTGCCTTACATCATTCATTCAACATGTCTGTGAAGTCCTACTATGTTCCAGGCCCAGCGGATGTGAGAGAATGAGTGAGAGCTGATGGCTATAACCTCGGAAGTGGGCCAAGAGATGCGGTCTGCTATTGAGGCATAAGAGTCAAAGCATCACTTACAAGAGCATCTCACTGTAGCTGTCCACAAACAAGGTCTTCAGGGACGGCCGCCTCTGCAGGAAATACTGAATCTGCAGGCAAAGACGAAGAGTAAGCTCCCAGGAAACGTTAAACGGGTGAGTAGCCAGAATGCCTCCTAAAGGGCGCTACAGGGGAACACGGGAGGGAGTGTGTCAAAGCAGAGATTACGAAGAAAATGGAACGGGGTGGGTCAGGTTGACAGGGTCATGCTACACGACTCCGTCAGGAGAGATTTTTAAAAATAGAGAGTGGAGTTACAACTATACCTAAAAGCAAGGCAGGGAGGAAAATCACCAAAATGTTATCAATAGTTGTGCTTGAATAATGGGATTGGGCAATTTTTTTCTTCTAATTTGTGCTTTTTTTCCTAATTTTCTTTAAGAAGTGTGCATTACAGTAAAAATCCTTTAATCAGCTTCCACTGATTAAACTAATTCACCATATTAACCAGTGCCCTCCACTCCCTGAAAACATTCTGACTGACGCCCACAGTGAATGCTGATGGCTCAGCGATCCTCCCCAGGACACCCACACGCTCTGCTCCCTCCCACCAGTTAACCCTGTTTGCCAAGAGTACTTTATGCCCACTGCACTTGCTATCGTGGCTTTGCATTTTATTATAATATAAACTACAAGTGTGAAATTGAAGATAATTGTTTCCATGAAGACAGAGTCCGACAATTTGGAAATACTCCTTAAAGGTGAGCTACTAAAAAAAAAAAAAAAAATGGGTATAGCTTAGATCAAAAAGATTAAGGGGAAAAATCACAACAATCTCAGGCTATTTGTACATGTAACAGTTGTCCCACATTCAAAGAATAGACTGTTCGTATACTAAAAGAATGACCAAGGAATGTGCATGTACAAGTTTTCAGTTAAAATAAAATGTTTCCAGTATATTGTAGATTTCTTTCATTATTCTGAGCTTTAATACACTGTTTGGATGAATTAACTACCAGTCTCTTAAGAGGCTTCCACTCTACTTCTGTAGTTAGATATTACATTCGGTGGAGAGCCCTGACTGTCTGACTTCGAGCATGATGGCCCTGCGCCTGTGGGAACCCACTGAGCAGATCCCCGCCCCCCAGCTGTGAATGCCTGGACAGCGCTCAGCTTCATCTGTGCATCTCTCAGTTCCCCAAGCAGGGCCGTTACGTGTCTGACGGATTAAAAAGTGAGTGAGCACTGAGTGAGTCTCTTGGCTTTCTGTTTTGGCGATAATGGCAACTCACAGTGTGGGAAGGAATGCTTACCCCTCGGAAAAAAAAGTAGACTCCCCCTGATACAGAAAGAATCTCTCCAGTAACTCGGAAATAGTCCCCAACGGTGTTCAATTTAAAGGGAGGCTGCAAGGTGCAGAGAAGTTAGTGACTTCACTCACTCATTCATTCATTCATGCAACAAACATTTACCAGGTGCCAACCCTGTGCTTAAGACCCAGCCCCTGCCCAAGAGGCTCAGCCTCCATCAGGAGAGAAGGACACAAATGAGAATGCACTATTATAGGGACACCTGCCAGGAGGCCCCTCTGTGGGACCTGATTCCCAAGTGGCACTTTCAGGTGCCGAGTGGAACATCCTTACAGTGCTGTGCTGTCTCCCGGACAACGTCCCAGCCCAGAGCTCCGCTGAGAGGAGGCGGATGGCTTAGATGGAGGTGCTCTTACAGACCCAACGCCATATGCTTCCTGCTGCCCCCACAGTCCACGGTGAACACCTGGTCTCCCAGGACTAACAAGGTTTCCCACAGATGGCGGAGGGAGAGACATCCCACACACACATGTGTGTCGTCCTTGTGTTTCAGCCACCATTTCCCGGAGTGGGTTTCCTTTCAGCCTACCATCGATGCTTCGTAAGCACTAGTTCACTAGCTTGTCTTATTAGCACATTTCTCTTTTCTCTAAAAATTAAGTCACTTAATGTCCTTAATACGTAGACAGAAATCAAGTTTCACCTAACCAGGAAGTTGAGTTTTTAAATCAGATTTACAAATAAGGCACCTTGGAGATAAAGACCGCAAATTAAGCACTTGGGTATTGAATGGAAAGGACTCAATTCAGAAACTCGAGGGAGTCCGTGGCTCCTGGTAAAGAAATCCTGGCCTTAAACTGATTTGATGCATGGCCCAGGGCCTGGCATAGAAGAAGTACTCAAAAGTATATGTCCAGGGGCCGGCCCCATGGCTGAGTGATTAAAGTCCCATGGGCTCCACATCAGTGGCCCAGGTTCATGGATTCAGATCCCAGATGCATACCTGCTCCATTCATCAGTCATGCCATGGAGGCATCCCATATACAAAAAATAGAGGAAGATTGGCATGAATGTTAGCTCAGGACTAATCTTCCTCACCAAAAAAAAAAAAGTGCATGTACAAGGAACAAATAATGAGCAAGTGAGGGAACAAAAGTGGGCAGGTGAGCAGATGGCAATGGGTTCATGGATTCTGCCAGCCCCTGACCTGCAGACACCCAGCTGGGCGAGGGGAGAGATGCTTTAGAGCCCTAATTGCTGCATTGTTTCTAACTTAGCACTCCCCCTCTGCACTCGGAGACCTCAGCGACCACATGCTCAGCCTTACAGACCAGGAGGCTGAAGGAGGGGCTGAGAACAGGAGCGGGGGTAGCTGCCAGGACAGCCTGAGAGAGGGAAGACACGGATAAAAGATCTCTAGGTGATCCTTCCATCTCTCCAGTGAGCCAGGAAGGAGTCCAGGGCCTGGCCTGAGGTCTTGGGGGTCTTATAGGAATGCCCACTCCCTCTCCCCCTGCCGCCCTCTGAGCCCCGGGCCACACCAAGCCGTCCACAGGCCTGTAGTAGGCGACCGTGGTGAAGATGATCATATACAAGCAGTAGACGAAGAAGTTGAAGTAGAAGATGCGCTTGACGAATCTGTCCCACTTGTCCTGCAGGAGTCGGTTCAGCGGCTCCACCAAGAGCATGTCCTGGCGATTCTAAGGGGAGCAAAGAGCAATGAGGCCCACTCCCTACCAGGAGCCGCCCCACAGAGGTGCTGCTCACACCTGCATCTCCGCACAGGACGAGGCAGGACCACACTCGGGGCCCGAGGAGCTGATGAGGGTCACAGATCTGAACCAGCGGCTCGCTGCCTCCACCCTCTGGGCCTCAGTGCCCCTGTGTGTGCAGTGAACGAGGGGTGGAATTGGACGAGTGACCCTAAGTGCCCCCGACACTGAAGGGCTCATGGTGTTGCCGGATATTCTCTGCCGTTCTCTCTAATCACTCAAGAGAGCCCACCTGCTTATTATTCCCACAAGAATGGGAAGAGGCTGGTGCAGGCAGAGCCTGGCATCAGACTGCTCAGGGAGGGGCCGAGGGCAGGCAGGAAGGGGCCTCTAAATTCCCTCATTCTCACATTTCCAGCCCTGGGTCAGGCAGGCCATCCTGGCAGGAGTGCAGTTACCTATGCATGAGATTGAAGGGAGCCAGGAAGCCTTTCCTGCAGTGGCTGGGCCCGGGGCCAGGGATACCGTCATTACAAGGATGCTTTGGGGCAAAATTCTCATACCCAGGAAACCTCTATTAAAGTTCAAGCATCTCTAGGATGCATGAGCCCAACCCGCAGCCCAAGCCTGAGCTCCCACAACGAAGTCCCTGTTCAGTGTCTTCTTGAATACCTTTGGGGATGGGGAGCTCCCTGCTGCCTCAAGAAGCCTATGGAGAAACGCTAAGTATCAGGAAGATCTATTCTCCGGAGCAAAGCTGGTCTTCCCTGCTTTCCACCAGGGGTCCTGGCTCTGCGCTCAGGGGCGCCAATATTGTATTCCTGGCCCCTGAGAGCCTTCAGAGATATTAAGATGGCAACCATGGCCCCAGAGCCTTCTCTTCTCTAGGTCAAACACTGCACTCCTTTTTGAGGCCATTTCCTACCCAAGCCAGCCTTCCTGGAACACTTGCATCTGGGATTCTGAGTCAGAGGCCCGGATTCAGCATGGCAGCCAGGTGGGGGCTGACAGGGCAGAACAAAGTAGGCCAGGCCTCTTCCTCCCCTGGACTCTGCCCCTGTGAATAAGCCTCTCCCTGTGAGACATCATGGCAGCCCCTCATCACCGAAAGCATAGACTGATACCCCCTAGTCTCCTTAGGGGCTCAGAGTGTCACCTTAGAAAGAGCAGACAGGGACGGTGGCCTTTCAAAGGAGTGGTGGCAGGACAGACTTTTCATCAAGTGGAGTTGGGACCCTCACTTGGAAACCAAATAATTACCTAAGATGCCTCCCTCACATCCACACAAAAATTAATTCCAGATAAATTAAGGAGCCAAACATGAAATACCTCCAAAGGAGCTAAAAGAAAATATCGAAGGCTATGCGTGTAATCTCGAAGTGGAAAAGACCATGCAAAGCAAGACACATGTCGCAGAAGCTAGAAAAGAAAAAGGCTAATCAACTTGATGCCATCAAATGAAAACGCTTTATAAGCAAATGATGCCACAAACGAAGTTAAAAAGACAAGAGGCAGACTGGGAGAAAATTAAATATTTGCAACATATGCAGTAGAGAAAGGATCAGTTCAATCTATAATAAGAGCATCTACAAACCAAAAGGGATGAGACCAAAAGCCCGATAGAAGAGATGGCAAAGGATAATGAACAGGAAATCTACCAAAGAATAGGAATGGTCACTAAACATGTAAAACAATGCCCGACATCACGGTAACCAGGAAAATGAGAACTAAGACATCAATAAGATAACATTTTTACCTCCATGGACTTCAGCTAGTTTTTAAAAAAAAAAAAAAAAAAGATTGACGACACCCAGGTTGGCAAGGACATGGGTGGATGTGTAGCCACTGGTAGTGGCAGGTGCATGGATGCAGTCTTTTGGGAGGACAATTTGGCAATAGTTATTAAAATATTAAAATCTACCTGCTTTTTGACTCAGCAATTCCAACTCCAGGTATCTTTCATAGAAAAATTCTCAAACCCCTGCCAAGTGGCCTGCAGCATTGTAGTAGCAAAAATAACTGCGACTAACTCGAATGTCCTTCTCGGGACATTGACCCATCCCCACTATGGAATCTCATGCAGCAATCCTCTTAATGAAGCAGACCCACATGGACTGATAAAAAACTGTCTACCAGACACGCCATTGAGTGAAAAAGCTGGTTGTTCTACATTAGGTACAGTATGATCCCTTTTGTGGAAACATAATGAAGCTACATGCTTTTCCTATGGTACAAAAGGAGGATTCTTTTTTGTCTGTGTACTTCTGAAATATTTAAGTTTTTACAGGAATATCGTGATGTATTGATTGTATGATGAAGGGAAACACTCAGTGGGAATGACTCGGGAGATGAGGCTGCAGGGCCTAGGGCCCAGGCGGCAGGCTTTCATTGAAGGGAGGACAGGCAGGGCAGGACCAGGGCCTGGGGGTGGGGGCCGGGGTGCAGTGAGACTGGAAGCCCACTCACGGGGGTCTCGCTGCTGCTGTAGGCGATCACCTCGAGCACTGAGTTCTTCTCCCAAGTGTCAATGCAGGACAGGTCGTAGAGCGAGGAGTGCACAGGCCCGTAGGCCCACTCGGTGAACTTCCTGGACAGGTGCCTGCACTCGGGATCCCGGATCTCCCTCTGGAGAATGTAGGCCAAGACCTGCCGCAGGGGTACAAGAGCTTGTAGGGGGCCAGCCTGGGGCCCTGCCACTGCCTGTGTCCCCATCGGGCCACCAGCTCTACTCCAAGAACACTTTTGCTTCCCGGCCCAGTTGGAGACCCCACCCACGCCCCAGGAGAGCCCCTACCCCCATGCAGCAGCCTGCTGACCACCAGCAAGATCCACCTGTCCACCGCCTCAGACCCCAACTGCAACCACATCAGACCCATCACCTGACCACACCGGGCCCTAGTTCTCCCGTCTCGCAGTGAAAGACTGCAGTGGGCCATTCTAGAAAACCTCCAATCAGAAGGAAATAAAGAAAGTCCAAGAAGTAAAACCAAGGTTACAAACCCAGTCTTCTCATCCTAAGAGGCTCGGTATGAGCAGGGACAAACTCCTAGAATCTCCTGGTACTGAGAAGTACCCCCCTCTCCAATTCCTCACTGCCCAGCCCCACCATCAGCCTTCAATGCCCCTGTTTTGGCCCGAGCCTGCCCTACCCCAGACTCTCCCCTTAGGACCCTCCCTATCACCCACCTGCCATGGAAAAACACCAACAGCGCCTCTTTCCATTTCACCCTCGGCTCCACCCACCCCCATCCCAAGCCCCAGCACCCTGCCCCCACCCCACCTTGTTGGTGATGCTCAGAGTTGGAAATCAGAGATGGCCACGTGTGTAGTGCTGGGTTCTCCTCAGCGTCTCACAATTCCCCTGGCTTACTCTAACAGCTCCCTGCCCAACCTCTACTGGTTGGTGTGACAGCATCAGGGCTCCACACTGGCAATGCCAGGCGCCCGCAGTGAGGCAGGCAGTCCCGTCCCACAGCACCCTTGAGAGTCACACCCCCAGCTCGGGGGCAAAGCCCCCTCCCTACCCCGATCTTCCCGCTCCCAGCAGCCAGAGCCAGCGGAGTCAGCCCCTTCTTGTTGGTGAGCTCCTCCAGCTTCAGTGTAGGATGGAGCTTGGCCCCCAGGATCAGAATCTCGTTGTACATGCTCGTCACAAACTTGGTGTTGTCGGCGGTGTTGTCAGCCACCTCCACTAGTGCATGCAGCACCGAGTTGCCCACCGAGTCCCTGGCACTGATGTCTGCTGGCTGCCAGGAGTTCTGCAGCAGGAACTTCACAATGCCCAGCTGGTTGGTGCACGCGGCGAGGGAGAGGGGCAGCTCACCTGCGGCCAACACAGGTACTCGGTGGGCCTCAGGAATAGACTGGCTTGGTCCCTGGACCAACCAGCCTCCAACTCCCTCTGTCTCCATCCCCCACACCTCCCCTTAGCAATTGTCAAAGAGCCAAGTGTCTACCACGTGGTCTCCTTACCAAAATAGAAGCCAGGCCGCCCTTTGGTTTTCTTAAAGAAGTCCCCATTGGCTGCAGCCTGGACGTCTGCCCCATTCTCCACCAGGAGGGTCACCAGTGTCATGTTTCGCCTCTCAATGGCAATGTGCAGCGCCGTCTGGCCTGTGGAGGATGGACACTGTTGTTTTTGTGCTCATAATCCTGTGGGGGTGCCCGGGCAGGAGCTGGGGGAGGGCCTGGGCAGAAAGTGCCGGTTGACCACTCCCACCAGAGGAGGCCAGATCAGGATCCCCAAAGGGGACCCAGGGAGTCCCTGAGGCAGGAGTAGAGACCCCCAGAAACAGGAGGAGGCAAAATTGACCAACAGCAAGGAATAGTAGCAAAGAGAGAGGCCATGACTTCCAGGGGCAAGGAATACCAAACCCACAGAGGGGAGGACAGGCCCTCAGCGCCAGCAGAAACCAAGCCAGCACGTGGGGGAAGCAGGGAACCCCCCCCCCGCCAAAGGACCAGGAGATGCTGATGCAGTGGCTGGGACAGGGAGTAAGGAGCTCAGAGGCTGGCCCACGCATGCCGGTGCCCTCCTGGATCCAGGTGTGCTTGTGGGCAAAGCCACGCCTGCCCCACACCCTCCTCACCCTTGTAGTAGCTGTCCGTGTAGCTGGCATTGACTAACTCCTTCAGGCTGTCTGTCTGCCGGGCAATCTCCAGGAGCAGGGGGATGGTGTCATTCTGCCCATCATGCAGGTTGAGCATGGCTTTCAGCAGACAGGTCTTCCCTGTCTCGGGGTCTGCAAGACAAAGTGAGGTTCAGAGTAGGGCGCAGCAGCCGGGACCCCTCCCAGGCACCCACCCTCTCCAGGGCCACCTTTGAACTCGCTGTCCATGAGGTGCTTTTTGCTCTTCTGCAGGAAGAACAGCAGGTTCTCCAGCTCCTCGCAGTTATTCTGAGCGACAGCTTCAAAGATCTTCCTGCGATCATAGAGGTCCTTCTGGGCGCCAGAAGTGACAGAGTCCTGGGACGGCTGCCTGTGGGCCAGACAACCCCTTGGTCTCATACTGTGGTCTCCCCTTGGCCCTGAGGCCCTGGGAGCTCATCCGGGAGCACAACCAAACCCCGAGGCAAACCAAAAGGGGGGAAAACGTGATACAAAACCCACCCCTCGGTCCAGGAAACTGATGTACCAGGGAACAGAGGGCACATGTGACCCCAGGCTGTCCCCATCCTGTCTGGGGTCATCTAGATAGTCTTTGCCACCACCACTTCCTCCAACACCCAGACCATCTACTTCTCTGCCTGCTTGGGAGCTTGAGCTCCAGAGGCAGTGGCCTGGAGGACTGGAGGAAGGGGTTGGAGGGGTTTTGCTGGCCCCTGCTAAGAGAAAAAGCGTCCTCACACTGCCCCAGAAGTCAGCCAGCCTGTGGGCCGCCCCTGTCCTGCCTTGGAGGAGGCAAGAAGGCTGGTGGGCTCCTCACTGGAGCCATTTTGTATTCTCTGTCTGAAAGCATCCTGGACTTGAGCTTTTCAACTTGAAGTGTAAGTGTTTGGGGCTGGTGAGCACTCCAGGCCTGGACATCTAGAGATCAGCTGGCAGCTAGGGTCAGCAAAAATGCCAGCATCCATGTGTGACACATCCTGAAAGTCCTATGAGGGCAAGCACTGGACCAGACAACCCCTGAACGTTTCCCAGCTCTCTTGCTCTGTGACCTTCAGCCCATAAGAAGGAGCACAATGTGGTGTCTCTATGGCTGGGGCCTCAGCCAACTGAGCCAGCTGGGCTCCTGGTGGGAGAAGAGCCGGGCTCTAGATGCAGCTTACCTGGTACAGATGGGGCCATCCCCAGGCCTCTGGATGATGACAACAGGGCTGACAGTGATGGCCGGGCAAGAGGCCGGGTGGCCTTCCTCGTAAGAGCAGTCTGTGGAGGATGCTTCCACCAAGCCACACTTCCCAAAGAGCTGACTGTGGCTCTTGGTCACAGGGAAGATGGGGGGTTTGGCTGGAGGTGGCCTGAAGTCAGGGTCTCCATCTTGGGGGTCTGGGCAGGAGTCCTCTTGGGGCAGGTCCTCAGAATCCCCTGAGTCTGAGCTCCCCCATTTCTTCATCCTCTCCAGATCCTCTGTGGCCCAAGAGGCAGCCTGTGGGCAGCCACCGAGATCAGGTTTGTTCCCAGCTCCAGGACTACACGACTCTGCCCCCACTGCCCTCCTTGCAGAGGCTCCTGTGAAGCAGGACATCCCAGAGGTCCAAGAGTCACTGCTCCGAACCCCCCCAGAAGAGAAGCTTTCACGGGTGAGCAGGCCTAGCAGCCACATGGGTCTCAGCCTCTGGGGATGCACAGGCCTCCCAGCGTGGAGCCGTCAGGTTCTGAGGGACTTGGTTGGGTCGCTCCTCTTCTCTGGGCCTCGGTTGCCTCATCTGCAGAGTGGAGATGCTAACCCCTGCTCTGCCTCCCGCCGAGATCAGAATAAGGGAGCAGTGGGAGTGGCTGTTGCTGGCTGTGCCTTCAGGGAGGAACTGGTGATGAGGATAGCTCAGCCGGGCGTCTGCGTCCCAGGAACAGGGTGGCCAGCAGGGACTGCAACACTCACGCTCCACACTACAGGCCCCTCCTGTGCCATATGTCCCCATCAACCACCATGTGCTCTTCGACCTGGTCATTGTAACTACTGAGTTTGTAGGGGGCATTTGTGCTTTTTGTCATTTTGCGAAATTAGTATATTCAAGCATCCTAGCCCTGAACTTTTAGACTTTAAGTGATTTGGGGCTGGTGGGCCTTCCAGGCCTGAACACCTGGAGTTAAGCTGGCACATATGGCCATAAACTTGTGTTGATATTGTTTTCCATTCCCTTCCTAAACTCACCTCCTACCCTTCCCCTCCATCCAGCTGGGCACCCCCACCCTGGTACCCAGGGCTGACCCACATCTCAGGGGCCTTTGCTCCTGTGGTGCCTCCAATTGGGGAGCTTTTTCCTCCTTCTCCTCTTGCCCAGATCCTACCACCGCTCAGATGCCACCTTCCCTCAGGGTCCAGCACTGATGCTGCCTCCTCCACAAGGGCCCCTGGTCCCTGCACTGCTCATGCCTCCTCCCACTCCAGAGTGGCCCAGCTTGTTAGCCATCCATCCCTCGTGGCCCTCTTAGAACAGTCCACCCTGCAGTCTAGCAATTTCTAGCACTGCTTTATCTCCCCGCTGCCCTGTGACCTTCTCCTGGGCAAGGGGCTTGCCTGATCCACCTCTTAATAAAAAGAGCTATGCTGCTCACCATGGGGAAAATGAGAGGGATCAGATACAGACCCTTCTAGTTCCCATTTGCATAGAAGTTAGGGAGATCGATGCTCCAGCAGTGGCTGGAGTCCAGAAAACAGCCACTGGAGGAATGGGAGGCTTCTCAAGGCCTTCATTTTCAAGCAAAGGTTCAAGCAGTGAAAATTCAGAGCACACAGCTGGGCTATGGCAGTAAATCAGCTAATCTGATGCCCAGATCTATGTGGGGGAAATGAAGCAGCCTCACCGTGCTGCATTCTGTGGACAAGACAGAGAGCTCGCTGCCAGTCCATTTCCCCTTCTGCCTGTTGTTCTGCTCTCAGAGCCCCTGAGTCTTTCTCTGATCCACCCATCAGGTGGAAACCCTGCAGCAGGAAGTGTTCCTGGCCACAGAAAGCCCCACTTCCAACCACTCACCCATTGATTCATCCCATCACTCAACACCCATCACTGAGTCCTGTTGGGTGCCCGGCCCTGGGCTGTGGGCACAGAGAGGACTCAGACCCCATCTGAACCAGAAACCAGGTGCCAGATGGGGCAGGGGGACCACAGGAAGGGCCAGGGTGCTGAAGAAGGCTTCATGAAGGAGGTGACAGATGAGCTGGGCCTGGAAGGGGAGCGGGGGGGGGCTGGCGTTTGGGGAAAGGATGGGGATCCCCAGAGTTGCTGATCAAGAGGAAGCCAGCAAGACTGGAGGACAGGTGGCAGGATCAGAGCTAGACGGCTGCCAGCTTTGAATGCCAAGGAGTAGGAGGTGGCCGTTATTGCTTGGATGGTAGGAAGCCGTAAGAAGCTTTGGAAGCATGAACACAGGGTGCTAGTCTGTGCTTTCAGAAGATAACTTCCTGCCAAGGACTGTTCATATGATGGAGAGCCTGTCCCCATTTAAAAGGCACAGGAGGCCAGTGAGAATGAAAATAATTGACGTGTTTGAGCACGTGCAAACACTGTTCTGATGCTTTACATGCATCCACTCGCTTCATTCTCACATCTCTGAGAGGTAATACTCTACAGATGAGGAAACAAAGGCACAGAGCAGTTACATGACTTGCCCGAGGTCACACAGTTAGTAAGAGGAGGAGCTTGGATTTGATCCCAGGCAGCCTGGCTCCAGGGCATCTCCAGCCCTCTACCACCTCTCTGGAAGGCTCAGAGCTCTTTCTTGGCCACTAAACTCAGCCCCAGACCTCACACCAGGGCCTGTGGGACGATGAGATCAGCCCCTCCCAGCCCTGGAGCCAGGCAGGCAGGGACAATGCCCTTCCAACCAGAAGTCCCAGGAAACTCAAAACACAAAATGAAGTACGAGGAAGACCTAGGCCATATGCCACAGCTGGGTCTCCCAGGAATGTCCCCCCTTGACTAAAGCTGGCTGCAAAACCAAGAATAAACCGGATGCCTGACTGGCAGCTCTTACAGCCCAACAAGAGAGCACATATCAGCAGGAGCCTCTTTTTGCAAACCTTTCAGCGATGTTCTCATTTAGCAGCTTTGCCTCTTTCTCTGCGCAGTCCAAATCCAACCAAATCCAATAAACATGAGGCTGCCCACACAGTACCATCAGTCTGTCAGTCAATAAACCCTGAATCTGCACTGCACACCCTGCACCTGATTCCCTACTGGTAACCAAGCTTCTCCCAGAGAAGAGGGCAGGACGGGGACTGAGAGGCCATTTGCTCTGGACTGGGAGGGTGGACAGGGACAAGATAGTCTGTCACTGCCAGGCCTGGGGCATGCCCAGCATGTGAGCCCCATGGCAATGCACCTGTCACAGCTGAACATTCTACAGTGATAGGGGCATTTCCAACGGTGATTTGGGATTTCTGATGGAGATGGTGGTTCTAGTTAAGCAAGATTCACAAACTCCCCAATCTGGACTAAAGGATGGTCCTGGAAAAACAACCCAACACGGTAAAGAACTGGTTTTCCCTCTGGGTCTTTCTCAACTCCAGAACCAGGAAGGACACTGCCCACCACCAGGGAGAAGCCCCCCTTCTTCTCTCCCTAATCCAGGTGAGACGTCCTGGGCCATGGCTCTCCCGCCCCACTCTCTGCCCAAAGCATCCGTCTGGCTCCAGCCTCCCTGCACGCTCTTGGGAGCTGGTCCAGCACCCAGTCCTGACCATCTTCATCCCCTCAGCCTACCTGAGCATCTCTTAAAGAGAGATGGAGACCTGGGGGTTTCCCAACCCGCGGATGAAAAGCCAGAGGAACTCTGCCAAAAGCAGAGAGAGAGTGGAACCTGGACAAGAACCCTGCCTCCAGCCCGGCATTCCTTCACTCCAGAGAGGACAACACGCTGAAACCTCCAGCCACAAACCACCGGCCTCGGCAGCAGCCACAGCCTCTCCGCCCCAGGATGACTCTGGTGCAAATAATACACCCTGATGATGGCAAGTGCCACTATCACTTACCAAGTCCTTGCGAGGAGCCAGGCTAAGTGCACCACAGCTACAGCTCCACTGACGCCTCACCACAACCTTCGAGTCAGCCACTGCTACTCTCCCCAGTTTTCAGATGGAATAACTGAGGTGCTGAGAGGCTAGTTGAACTGCCCATAGTCACACAGCCGGAAAGAGGTAAGGCCCAGCTTCTGACGCTCACTATGCCATTCTAAAGCCAACATCTGCATTGGCCCTCAAACACCAAAAGGGACTCACCAGCTGGATGCAGGCACAGCCCAGACCCGGCGGGTGCCGGTGAGCTCTGGTGGGTGCCGGTGAGCTCCAAGGCCGGTGCTACTTGAAGAGAGAGCTGGGCTGATGTGGGGAGAAGAGTTGCCTGCCCTGTCTCTGTGAGGGTCCTTGGCCCCTCCCTGGCCACAGCTGCTCGGCTGGCAGGAATGGGCTGTGAGCGCTCTGGCGCTCAAGGAAAACGTTTCCAGCAATGGCAGCAGCTGCTATTGCTGCGGCTCCGATTCCCAGAGGATCCCAAAGTCTTTCCCATCATTTTTGCCCTTTTTCAGAAACCACTTAGCCGCTGCCCCTCCTCCAACCATGCCAGGGCCGCGGTGCACTTAGCCACACACACAGCCCCGAACCAGCCAGAGCTGCGACCTCAGGGCTCAAGGAAGGAGGGCGCTGCTCAGGCCTCCCAAGCCCACTGCTCTTGCAGACATGGTGGTCTGGGGAGACAGCTCAACAACTGCAGTCTCCCAACCAGAATGGGAAACCCAGTGCCTGGAACTGATCCCTTTTCAAAATGTAGAAGGAATGGGAATGGTCGTGTCACCCATCACCTCGTCCTAGCCTGGCATTTGGGGACCTGGTTTAGAGTGCTGGCTTTGCATCAACTTTGTGTGACCTTGAACCAGTCCCACCTCTCTGGGCCTCTAGTTCCCTGTGTGACCAAATTTGGGGTAGGGATTGAGGTGGGGGGCTTCTGGGTCTGCCAGGTCCCAGCCTTTCTCAACTAGGGTTCCTCATGGAACCACAGAACACAGGAAATTATGTGTGTCTATTTTCTCACATCTCCTGGGACAATCCTGAATGCACAGGTGAAAAGTTAACTCATCACATACAATACAGCTTCATTCCCTCCTGGTCCCTGGCTGAGAAAAGCTGTGAGGTCTTCCTGGGTGTGCACACAGACTGCAGCCCCAAATCCCTGCAGAAGACATCCTAGCAGCTGCCCCCCGGAGCCTGGGAGGACTCCAATAAGCTGCAGGTCAGACACAGCTGGAAATGAGCAGCCACACACCAGAAATGCCCATTGTAGCCCCACCTGGAATAGCTCACAAGCTCTGACCCCTGAGTCAGGCATGAAGTGGATTCTGCAGACACTGCATGGATTCTGCGTGACATTTTACAGTTTACAAAGAGCTTTCCCAAACCCACTCTCCCAGGCCACACAACAACTCTGGGCAGTG